CAGGATCGCCTCGATGCGGTCGGCATCCCCGTGCTGCGCCAGCGCGTGCATCAGCGTGCCGTAGCCTCGGCGCCAGCCGCGCGGCCACGCAGGCGACTCGGCCGCTGTCGACGCCCTCGTGTGTCGTCGTCCACGCCGTTGTCGTGTCGTCGTCGTCGTCCTCCTCCTCCTCATCCTCCTCCTTGTCGTCTCGTGTCATGTCACGGCATGTCGTGTCATGTCGTGTCGCCTCTGTCTTCAAATTTCTTATCCTGCTCCTCCTCGCGTCGTCGTCGTCAGTCGTACGCCGTTCGTCGTTACAGTCAGAACTAGGACATAACAATATCCTTCAAGAACATGAGACCCTCCGCCGGCCAAACTGAAGGAACATTCGAGGGTGCCCTCGCCAGGATACACAATAACATCCAACAAGCACGAAAAACATTAGGGCACCCTCGCAGAACCAACCTCGATCTTATGCCTCGATCCGACCGTAATGTGTAGTCGTTCGTATCCTTGCGTCGTCATCGCTGTCGTCTCCAGATTTTCCGCAGATGGTCTCAGGTTTCATCGTCGTGGGCAAAAAGCTTCTTCTCCCCGACCTCAGCCTGTCGAGGGAGGAGGAGGAGAAGGAGAAGTAGGGGGAAAGAGGAGGGGGAGAGGATCTGAGCGAGAAGGAGGACGAAGCGGGGGGAGGAGTGCGAGATGAGGATGAACAGCAGGACTGACTTCCGTCGTAGAGGTCATTCGTTCGCTCTCCGAGAACAGATCGGGGTGATGGGGTGATGAAGGGGAGCATGAGGACGAGGATGCGGGAGACGCTGGGGACTGGTGAACAGTTACGCTGGGAGAAGGTAGCTGATGAGCCTGAACTGTCGCGGGTGGAATGGAGAAACGCCCAGTGCAGCCCATGCACGGTAGATGGTCGACTCAAACCTACCCGTCGGTCGGACGAAGTGGGTAGAAACCTGAAGTAGGAAGGCGTTGGAAGTAGCTTGGGCCTCCAGCCGCCCCCCTAGAAAGAGGAAGGGAGAGGGACACCCACTCGACGATTATGAAGTAGGACGGCGCCTGAAGCAGATTGAACTATGCGAATCTGCAAGTATGTACAGGGCAGGTTTTTAATACATCGGTTTTTAAACATGTCGGGTTTTAATACATGGTTAGTTTATGAATAAATGCATGCACGAACTCACCGTTGGTTGTAATACTAAATCCCTGCATTTGTGATACATGATCCGCACGCGGAGTATGTATTAAAAACGGCACTGTAGATTGAACTACGCGAACCTGCCAGCACGTACAGTCAACACGTATAACATGGATGCGCGGTGAGGATGCAGGAGTTCCGCTCCCCCACCCGCGCGCGCATATTCACGCGCGCAGAATCCGCCGCGACCAAGTTGGGCCCCGCGCCAGCGGCCTCCCCGTGGCGGCCAGAACCATACGAACTCACAAGGCAGCTCGCCGCTTGGGCCCCACCGCCAGCCCAAACGGCGAGCATACATCGGGCGTAGCCCCGCGCGCATTCGAGTGCCCACACTTCGTCCTCGTACTATACTCGGTTTCCTCCCCGTCCTCCTCCCCATCCTGATCGTCGTCGTCCTCCTCCTCCTCGTCCTCCTCATCCTCCTCGTCGTCCTCGTCTTCCTCCTGATCCAGCTCCTCCTCGTCGTCTTCGTCTAGGACATCGTCCTCATTTCTGCTCTTCTCTGCCTCCTGCTCATCATCCTCCTTCTCCTGGCATCTCGGTCCTCGACGCCCACGCTTGCCCGCTTGCGGTTTTCTCTGGGGTCGGCGGAAGAGGCCATAGGTTGCGCTCTAGGTTGCCCCATGGGTTGCGCCCTCGGCGGCCGAAAAATGAAATCGTCTCCTATCGGTTGAGCAATAGGTTGCGCCCTCGGCGGCCGAGAAAAACACCGTCTCCGATCGGTTCCGCCATAGGTTGCGCCTTCGGCGGATGAGAATAACACCGCCCCTTATCAGTTGCGTCATAGGTTGCGCCTTCGGCGAACGAGAATACAACCATCTCCTATCGGTTGCGCCCTCGGCGGCTGAGAAAAAAAACTGTCTCAGATCGGTTGCGCGATAGGCTGCGCCCCCGGCGGCCGATAATAAAACCGTCGCCCATCGGTTGCGCCATAAGTTGCGCCCTCGGCGGCCAATACAAAAACTGTCTGCGATCAGTTGCGCCACAGGTTGCGCCCTCGGCGGCTGAGAATAAAGCCGTCTCCTATCGGTTGCGCCATAGGTTGCGCCCTCGGCGGCCGAGAAAAAATCGTCCCCTATCGGTTGCGCCATGGGATGCGCCATCGGCGGCGGAGACTCCTATCGGTTACACAGTAGGTTGCGCCTTCGGCGGCTGAGAAAAAAAACCGTTTCCTGTCGGTTGTGCCATAGGTTGCGCCCTCGGCGGCCGAGAATGGAACCGTCTATCGGTTGCGCCACAGATTGCGCCCCTTGCGGCCGAGAGTACAACCGTCTCCTTTCGGTTACGCCATAGGTTGCGCCCACTGCGGCCAAGAATAAAACCGTCTCCTATTGGTTGCGCCATAAGGTCGCGCCCTCGGCTGCCGAGAATAAAACGGCCTCCTATCAGTTGCGAATTAGGTTGCGCCCTCGGCGGCTGATAATAAAACTGTCTCCTATCTGTTGCGCCATAGGTTGCGCCCTCGGCGGCCGAATAAAACCGTCTCCGATCGGCTGCGCCATAAGGTTGCACCCCCGGCGGCCGATAATAAAACCGTCGCCCATCGGTTGCGCCATAAAATGCGCCCTCGGCGGCTGAGAATGAAACCGTCCCGCATCGGTTGCGCCATAGGTTGCGCCCTCGGCGGCCGATAATAGAACGGTCTCCTATCGGTTGCGCCACATGTTGCGCCCTTGGGGGCCGAGAATAAAACAGCCGCGCAACGGGTGCGACCAGTCAGTTCAGTACAGCTCAGATCAGTTCAGTTTACTTCAGTCAGTTTACCTCGCGAGAAACCAATTCGGGCTACGCCCGAAATCGTGGCCCGAGGCAGGTGGGCGAACGAAGGGGAGGCCAGGGGACGCGTTGACAGAAGAACAGGGTGACATGAAGATCTTTGGAAATGAGCGCCCCCAAACAGGGCCCAAGAGGCTCCCAAGAGGGCCCCACGAAAGGCTCCAGAGCGTCAGCGTCGTCGTCGAAGTCGCCGCCGCCGTCGTCGTCCCCCTTCAGGGTCGGCGGCGCCGGCCGTAAGACCTCCGCAATAAGCGCTGGGGGTTGAAGGAGGCGGGAGGTTGAGGAGGATAACGAGGAGCAGGAGGAAGAGAACCAGGACGAGGAGGAGAAGGAGGAGGAGAAGGAGGAGTAAGAGGAGGACGGTGAGAAGGAAGAAGGAGGGAGGGAGAAGTGAGGAGGGAGGAGGAAGGAGGGAGAGGTGGGTAGGGTTTGGGGGGGGGGACCGACGCCCCCGCTCCGCTGCCAGCCTCAGGCCGACCCCTGCCGCGGACAGCCACCGCGCGCCGGAGGTGCTCCAGCGCCTGGGCGCGGTGCGCCCAGGAGGCGAGGTCTGCGCCCAACATTCTGTTGTCCCCATCCTACTTCAGGACCGCATCCCAGAAATAATTTCGAGCACCCGGAAAGGTGTCAAAAGAGTGTCGACAGAGTGTCGAAAGAGTGTCGAAACAGTGTCGGGCGAGTGTCTCCCAGGGCCCGACGCGTGAAAACCCTTGAGTTTCGGCACTTTTTTGGGGGCTCTCGAAATTCTTCCTGGTGATCAAGGCTGAAGTAGGTTGGAGCATCATTCGGGGATGGACAGACCCCCTTTAGCAAAACGTGGTTTAGTCAAAACGACCCGAGGCCCAAACCTGGCGGGCGCGAGCCTGGAAAATGACGGCCACGGCGCCCTCTCGAGAACCGAAAACGGACAATTCACTAATCGACGTGTCACTGTTGGGGGTTCTGCCCACCCCCGACAAAAGGTTCTTAGAACATTCTTTGGTAGGCCTATAGGCGAGCCCGGGCGCTTCTCCGCGGCTTGAATGACTGGAGCGCCGGGCGGCCCGCTGCGGCAGCCCGCCGCGGCAGGCCGCCGGCGACGGTGCGCTCGCGCTCCCCCGCGGCGACGGCGCGGGCGCCGGGGCGCCCGGGCCTCCGAATCATAAGCCCAACGCCGAGCGTGCACCTGCAGCCCCGCGCGCTGCCAGCAGGAGCGCGGAAGATGGAGCGGACGGGGCGTCCTCCTGGCCACGGCGGGCCTCGGCCACGAACAGGCTCCCCGACCTTCCTCCTCCTCCTCCTCCTCCTCCTCCTCCTCCTCCTCCTCCTCCTCCCTCCTCCTCCTGCTCCTCTCCTCCATCCTCTCCTCTCCTCCTCCTCCTCCTCCTCCTCCTCCTCCTCCTCTTCCTCCTCCTCCTCCTCCCTCCTCCTCCTCCCGACCTTCCTCCTGCTCCTCCTCCTCCTCCTGCTCCTCCTCCTCCTCCTCCTCCTCCTCCTCCTCCTCCTCCTCCTCCTCCTCATCTCCTCCTCCTCCTCCTCCTCCTCCTCCTCCTCCTCCTCCTCCTCCTCAACTGAGGAACGGCCCGAAAACCAGAGCCCCTCTCGATCCCAAAGTGGTCCCCTGCTGCGGAGTCTTCGCTGCGCACCGCCCCCCGGCCGGGCCCCTCCGGTGCTGCTGCGCGAGGGCCATGGAGGCCCTTCGGAGGCCCTTTCGGAGGCCCTTTCGGAGGCCCTGCCAAGGCTCCCAGACATGTGGGAAGACCTTCGGCGGTGGACAAACCCCCCTTTAGTAAACCTCCCCTTCGTGAAAAGCGCCTGGGACCGAAACCGACGGACCTGGACCCGCAAAAAGGACGGCCGCGACGCCCCCTCGCGAACCGAGAACGGCCAATTCCTTAATCGACGTGTCAGGGTAGGAGGTCTGTCCAACCCCGAGACCTGCGAAGTGATCAAGGATTCGGCGCGCACGCGCACGCCCCACCCCCTGCCTCGGTCAGGGAGGCACGCGCGCTGGTCTCGGGCCCAGGCCTGGGCCTGGCCAGGATCGGTGCAGGTGTGCAGCTTGGCGCCTTCAGACGTCAACGCCCCTGCGCCGGCGCTGCTGCGCGGAGCCCTCGGCGGCCGTTCGGAAGCTCTTCGGAGGACCTTCGGAAGCCCTTGCGAAGATTCCGAAATGGGGGGGCCCATAATGACATCCGGCCGCTACATTCTTGTTCGATGCGTGGGCCCCTGGACCACTCCCCTAGGGCCGGTGTTTGATCCCGAGTCGTCTATGGACGGTCTGGAGGCCCCGCGAGGGCCCCCTGGAGGCCGGAGACAGTCCAAAGCCGCCAGCTCCAGCTTTTGGAGCGTTGGTTCTCTGGGTCGTGCGGACGGCGACGGCGGCCGGGCACGTCGACTTCTTCGGTCGCGCGCGCCGGGCCCGCGGCAGGCGCTGGTGGCGCGGAGGCCGGACTTCGCCATCCTGGCGAGCCACTCCTGGGCAAGGGGGGCCTGGGGGGGCGACGAACGAACGAACGACGGCGAAAATTCGCCGGCCCAACGGGCCAAAGAAGGCGTGCTGAGATCTCCGGTCACTGGTGAACCGTATGTCTAGTTGGCGCGCGCGGGGCGGCTCCCTGGGGGTCCCCGGACGAAAAGTACCCCGGCCAATACGACCCAGAGATGTTTTTTCCCTCTGGGCGCGGCTTACAGGCGCCCCCGAGCGCGCCTAGAGAGCCCCAAGAGTCCCCAAGACGGTCCAAGAGGGCTCCGAGTCGCCGACCGATGGGTCCAAGACGCCCAAGATATCCTCCAGACGGCCGCAGACGCCCCCCAAACGCCCAAAGAGGCCTCGAAGAAGCGTCTCAAGAGTGCCCCAGGAGGCAAAAACCATCGGTTTCCTTTTTGTTGTTCAAAGATGTTGGCGTTCTCATCTGTTTGACTTCCCGACGCTCTAAGACGGCCCAAGAGGCTCCAAATATCGCCCCAAGACGGCCCAAGAGGCTTCCAAGAGAGCCTCAAGAAGGGCCCAAGAGGGCCCCAAGACGGCCCAAGAGGGCCCCACGAGGGTCCCAGAGGGCCCCAAAACGGCCCCAGAGGCGCCCAAGATCGCCCAAGAGGGCCCCAAGACGGCCCCAAGAGGGGCCCCAAGAGGGGGAACACGAACCACCAAGTCGAGCCTTCCGCCCCAAGAGGCCCTCAGGAGGCCCCGAGAGGCCCCCCAAGAGAGCCCAGGCGGCCCCCTGGAGGCCCCACGAGGTCCCCCAAGCGGCCCCCGCGAGGCTCCGAGAGGCCACGAACGCGCAAACAAACGCCTGCGATGGCAGAATGTGGGCTGGCAGAAGGAGCGAAGCGATTCAATGAACCAAAAGCCGCTCAAAATCGGTCCCCAGACCCCTCCCGGGATCCATCTGGTGCAATTTTCCCTCCGGGTCCGTTCTCGACCGTTTCTGGGCCCGGCAGCGGCGCCGCCAGGGGCCAGAACGGGCCAAAACACACTGCCGAACCCAGCGCCTCGAACCTGCCCGCCCAGAAACTACAGTGCTGGGCAACCTCAGGCCCCCTGCAGGCGGCTCCAACCCCTCCCTCCCGGTCACGTCTGTTAAAGACTCTCGCCCCCCCCCCCCCCCCCCTCCCTGAGATCCGAGCCTGCCGAGAGAGTGCCAGCAAAATCACGGCGGGAGCCCTGCACAGGGCTGGACCTAAACTATGTGTGTTCGTGTTGTTTTCGTGTTGTTTTTCGTTTTGCCCTACCTGTTTTCCTGTGCCCCCCCTCCCCAGAACGAAAAACAAGACACCGCCGAAGTCCAGCAAAACAGCGTTTAGGTCCAGCCCTGGCCCTGCACCCCATCTTTATGCGTCCCTTTTCGAGCTGCGTCGATCTGTGAGGACTCCCGGGGCCCGACATGGAGCGAAAGCGCCCGTTGCGGAAAAATTGCGACGCCAGGATCTCAAGGCCCTGCCGCCCTCGGCGCCCGTCGGGGCTCTTCTGACCCGGGTCCATCCGGACCCCGGCCAGTCAGGCCTTGCAGCATCCTGCAACAGGACTGGACCTAAACGTTGCTGTTCGTTTTGTTGTCGTTTTGTTGTTCGGTTTGCTTTGCCTGTTTTCCTGTACCTCGCTCCCAGAACGAAGAAACAAAAACCGCCAAAGTCCAGCAACACAGCGTTTAGGTCCAGCCCTGTCCTGCAAGATCCTCCAAGATCCTGCACCCAAGCCTGGGCCAATGCGAAGGATCCCTGCAAGATCCTTCAGAATCCCGCACCCAAGCCCGGGTCAGTGCGACTCTGGCCCTGCAGGACCCTGCAAGGTCGGGCGCTCTGGCTGACCCCCGTTTGTATCGACCCCCGTCTCGTCAGCCCCGACGCCCCCCATGACATTTGGCCTCCACGACATGTTCTGAGAACCCAGAAATGTTCGAAGAACAAAAACAATGAGCTTAGAACATGGGCCCGATGGGTTCAAAACAAGTCAGTCCCAGCCAGAAGTGTTCTGAGCACAGTTCGTGCAAACCACAAAAGGTTATTAGAACATTCTTTGGTTGGCCTATAGGCGAACCCGGGAGTTTCACCGCTGCTTGAATGACTGGAGCGCCGGGCGGCCCGCTGCGGCAGCCCGCCGCGGCAGGCCGCCGGCGACGGTGCGCTCGCGCTCCCCCGCGGCGACGGCGCGGGCGCCGGGGCGCCCGGGGCTCCCCCTGGAGCCGGGTCGGCGTCGGAGCCCGCTCGGCCGCCGAACTACCGCCACACGCGTATGGCACGCCAGGGCGGGACCTAAACTTTGTTCTGCCGGATTTCGGCGGTGCTTTGTATTTGGTTTTCGGCAGGGAGGAAAAGGAAAACAGGTAGGGCAGAACGAAACACAGAACGAAAACAAAACGAAAAACAACGTTTGGGTCCAGCCCTGTGGTACGCACATCCCTGCGTAGGATTGAATAAATCTTGAGCTAAAACGCTGGGCATCGCTCAAAACGCTTGCGGGAGCAATCGTCCGGGTCTAGATGCACTGAGATCCGACGCAGAACGCATCTCCAAGGGAACTCCTGGGGTCCACTCCCGATGCTCGACCTTCCCAGGCGAGATTTGAAGCCTACGAAAGTGGATGGTTTTCTGTATGATATATATATATATATAGAGAGAGAGAGAGAGAGAGAGAGAGAGAGAGCGAGAAAAAGAGCGTTATCCACCGCTGCTTTGCTGTGGAAAATTCCCCCCCTCTTGCTCCGGAACACCGGGTTCCCCCCCCTCGAAAATTCCCCCCCTGCTCGAACCCCCCCTCCCCTCCCGCGGCAAGAAGCCCCCCCCTCCCCGAAAAAACCGGGGGGGGGGGGGGGCCACTACCGGTTCGACCCCCCCCCCACTCGCCGCCAGCTAACAGCTTCCAGGTCCCCACCACCGTCGTCACCACCGCCCTCACCAGTCCTCACCACCACCGTCCCCACCCCTGTCCCACTGTCCCCACTGTTCCCACCACAGTCCCACTCTCCCCTCACCACTGTCCCCACCACCACTTTCCCCGCCACTGTCCCACTGTCCCCACTGTTCCCGCCTCTGTCCCCACTGTCCCCACCACTGTCCCACTGTCCCCACTGTCCCCACAACTGTCCCTACTGTCCCCACTGTCCCCGCCACTGTCCCACTGTCCCAACTGTTCCCACCACTGTCCCCACTGTACCACTGTCCCATTGTCCTACCACCGTCCTCACAATCGCCCTCACCACTGTCCCCACCACCACCGTCCCCGCCACAGTCCCACAGTCCCCACTGTCCCCACCACTGTCCCCACCACTGTCCCACTGTCCCCACCACTGTCCCCACCACTGTCCCCACCACTGTCCCCACCACTGTCCCCACTGTACCATTGTCCCCACCACCACCGTCCTCACCGCTGTCCCCACTGTCCCCACCAGTGCCTCCAAAACTGTTGCGCTGTCTCCACTGTCCCCACCACCGCCCCCACCACTGTCGCACTGTCCCCACTGTCACCACTGTCCCCACTGTCCCCACTGTCCCCGCCACTGTCCTTTCTGTCCCCTCACCACTGTCCCCACCACCACCGTCCCAACCTCTGTCCCACTTTCCACCCTGTCCCCACCACTGTCCAACTGTCCCCACTCATCCCACCACTGTCACCACTGTCCCCACCAGTGCCCCCACCACTGTCTGCCCCCACTGTTGCCACCATTGTCCCCATCACAGTCCCCACTGTCCCCACCACTGTCCCCACTGTCCCACCACCATCCCACCACCGTCCGTCCCAACCACTCTCCCCACCACAGTCCCCCATCCGAAGTGGGGGAGGAAAAGGAACCGTTTGCCGGCGGCGAGGGAGGGGAGGGATTCGAACCGGTAGTGACCCCCCTCCTTTTCATGATGGGGGGGGTTGGAGCCCCCATTGACCCCCCCGGTTTTCGAGGTTGGGGGGGGCAGGTTGGAGACCCCCAGGGACCCCCCCCCGTTTTCTGCCAGCAACGGCAAAACACTCTCTTTCTTTTCTCAAGACCTCTGATTTAATCCCCGGCACAATGGGTTCAATGGGTTCAATCCCCAGGAAATGGGTTCAATCCCCGGGATTTGTTCCACTCTCTCTGTCTCTCTCCTTTCCGCCTGGAAAATCTTCTGGGGGGCCTGCCCGAGCCCTTCTTGGGCGTCCTGGGGGTCCTCTTGGCCCTGTTGGAGGCCCTCTTGGCCATGTTGGAAGCCCTCTTGGCCCTGTTGGAAGCCCTTTGGCCCTGTTGGAGGCCCTCCTGGCCCTGTTGGAGGCCCTCTTGGCCCTGTTGGAAGCCCTCTTGGCCCTGCTGGCGGCCCTTTCTCCCTGTTGGAGGCCTCTTGGCCCTGCTGGAGGCCTTCTCGGCCCTGTTGGAAACTTCCTGGGCGTCCTGGAGGCCCGCTTGTGCGTCCTGGAGGCCCTTTTTGTGCGTCCTGGAGGTCCTCTTGGGGTTCTCAAGGCCCTTCTGGGGCGTCCTGGAGGCCCTCTTGGGCCTGTTGGAAGCTATCTCGAGCGTCCTGGAGGTTTCTTGGGCGTCCTGGAGGCCCTTTTTGTGCGTCCTAGAGGTCCTTCTTGGGCGTCCTGGAGGCCCTCTTGGGCCTGTTGGAAGCTTTCTCGGGTGTCCAGGAGGCCTTCTTGGGTGTCCAGGAGGCCTTCTTGGGCGTCCTGGAAGCCCTTCTTGGGCGTCCTGGATGCCTTCTTGGGCCTGTTGGAAGTTTTCTTGGGCGTTCTGGGGGCCCTTTTGGGCGTCCTGGAGGCCCTTCTTGGGCGTCCTGGGCGCCCTTCATAAACGTCCTGGAAGCCCTTCTTGGGCGTCCTGGAGGCCCTCTTGGGCCTGTTGGAAGCTATCTCGAGCGTCCTGGAAGTTTCTTGGGCGTCCTGGAGGCCCTTTTTGTGCGTCATGGACGCCCTTCTTGGGCGTCCTGGAGGCCCTCTTGGGCCTGTTGGAAGCTTTCCCGGGTGTCCAGGAGGCCTTCTTGGGCCTCCTGGCGGCCGTCTTGGGCGTCCTGGAAGCCCTTCTTGGGCGTCCTGGATGCCTTCTTGGGCCTGTTGGAAGTTTTCTTGGGCGTTCTGGGGGCCCTTTTGGGCGTCCTGGAAGCCCTTCTTGGGCGTCCTGGGCGCCCTTCATAAACGTCCTGGAAGCCCTTCTTGGGCGTCCTGGAGGCGTTAGAAGCTATCTTGAGCGTCCTGGAGGCCTTCTTGGGCCTCCTGGTGGCCCTCTTAGGCGTCCTGGAGGCCCTCTTGGGCGCCCTGGAGGCCCTTCACGAACGTCCCGGAGGCCCTTCTTGGGCGTCCTGGAGGCCCTCTTGGGCCTGTTGGAAGCTTTCTCGGGTGTCCAAGAGGCCTTCTTGGGCCTCCTGGAGGCCGTCTTGGGCGTCCTGGAAGCCGTTTTGGGCCTGTTGGAAACCTTGTTGGGCCTGTTGGTAAGCACAGCGACGACTTGCAATTCGCTGGTAAGCACAGCTGCCAACAAACTTATCAGTACACCTCCCAATAAAGCTACCGCTCCAAGCACAGCCACCGCCACAGGTAACAGTGCAGCTGCCAATAAAACTACCACCACAATTCCCAATAACATTACAACGACAGCTACCGCTACCGTTACAACTACCACGTCTGCTACGATTACAGCCACCACAACAGCTACCAATACAGCTCCCAGTGCTGCTACCAGCACGGGTACCCGTACGGCCACCACTGCAGGTGACACTACAGATCCCAGTAAAGCTTTTAGTACATCTGCCATGGCAGGTACCACTCGTTACCACTACATGTGCCAATGCAAGTACCACTACTCGCAAGCGCGAAAGATACCTGTACCCTTACCCAGGCGGGGTGGTAAAGGGCGGCGGGAGCGACGCGCCGCAGCCGACGGCGGCTGCACAAGTGCAGATGTGACGGCCTATGGACCATTACAGGACGCTGTGTTCTCTGGGCGTCCGCTGGCACCGGAGGCGCGCGCGTTCCAATCGGCAGAGCGGCCGACCACGTATTGGTCGCTCTCGGGCCAGAATGGCTCGTTCGGAGGTGCGCCCACGAAGGCGTGTGGGGCTCGACGCGCAAAATGCGTCCTGGGTGTCCTGGGCGGGCGCCGCTGTAATCCCGCGCTCGCCCCAAACGCCTGGGGCCCCGAACGCCTGGCGCGGTCGCCAACGGCTGCTCCCTGGATAATACTGCCTGGCGTCACCTCTACTAGGTCCGGATACGCGTCGGGGGGCACTGTCGCCGACGCGCGTTGATGGTACCCCCGGACGCGTACCCGTACCTAGTCGAGGTGGCGTTTGGTCGAAATCGCTCCTGGGCGCACGCGCGGCCCCCGAGACCGCTTGCGAACGCGGCCGCAGCGGCCACCAGGGGAGCGTGAGATTTCAACGACGCTCCTGCGGGCAGGCCCAAACGCAACGGAATGGTGGTGCCTGTCCCCACATGGGACAGGCACGACCACTCCAATGCTGTTCTAAACCCCGCGGACACTCCCGATGCCCCCAAACGTCCCTGACGCAAACCAGGGCATGTCGCTGAAATCAAACAGCCAGCCGTTCAGCGTGTCGTTGAGTCCTGACGTGCGGATGCTGAAACAGCGTGCACGCGGCAGGCTGATCGGGCGCAGTTGCAAGCGCCCAATCCAGCGGACGGCCCTTTTTCACCCAGGCCGACCCCAGGCAAGGGTATGTTTAGGACCTTGTGGAGCCCCCATCTACTCCGACTCCCTCTCGGAGGCCTCGAGTGGTGGGATCGAGCCCATTCGGCGGCCGATCAGGCTCAGATGCCACAGCCCTGGCAGAGCTGAGCCCGCTCAGCTGCCACTCGGCGGGCTCGGACGCCGACCAGGCTCAGAAGGGTAGACAAGGGGGCCCTTCCCGGGGCAAGCCTCTTGTGCTGGGCTGCTCTTTGAGGCTCCTGGGCTTAGCCAGGGCACCCCAAACCCGAAAGTGGCCAACATGGGAAAGAACAGCCTGCTGAAACATCAACTCGCGGAGCTCCGCGCAGATCTCTGGAAGTTTATGCTCATGCCAAGCTGCATCTTCGACACAGGCCTTCTGTCGTGCATTCCTTTCGGACTTCGGAGGTCTGCGGCCAGGGCTTTCGGTAGCAGGTAAGAGTGACCCTTGGCAAGGAATGACCTGGGGTGCGCGGCTTTTGGGGGGCGCGGGAGGCCAAAACCCAAGCGCGCCGGCCGCTGCTGTCGCATCGCATTCAGCGATCGGGTAGAGGCCTCCTACATGGGGCCCGTGTAGATGGGGTCGGAGAATCGCGCCGCACCAGCGATGCATCGCCGATGCATATCAGCGATGCATCTCCGATGCATGGGCGATGCACTGGCGACGTCGGCGATGCATCGGCGACGTCGGCGTGGAGAGAATCGAGCTCCGCATCCAGCCGCATCGTCAGTCATCGGCAATGCGGCGCGATCCTTCGACCCCCTCCTCCTCCTCCTCCTCCTCCTCCTCCTCCTCCTCCTCCTCCTCCCTCCTCCTCCTCCTCCTCCTCCCCCTACTCCTCGTCCCCCACTTCCTCCTCCTCCTCCTCCCCTCCTCCTCCTCCTCCTCCTCCTCCTCCTCCTCCTCTACTCGGACCCCCTCTAGGAGGCCTAGATCGGGGGCTCCAGTGGGCCCGCACCAGAGGTCACTCCAGCGAAGGGCCACCTCTCACGTGCAGTCGAGGCTTGCCGGTCTCCTCCGCGCGGTCCAGGTCCCCAGCGCGCACGCACGCGTCCACGGTCATGCAGTAGCTGACGGCGTCCGGCTTCGCGCTGCCCTCGAGCATGGCCTGGGCCCGTCTCGACCACTGGCCTTCGTCGTCGTCGTCGTCGTCGTCGTCGTCGTCGTCGTCGTCGTCGTCGGGGTCGTTGCTGTCCGTTCCCCTGCATCCACCGCCATCGCCGTCGTCGTCGTAGTCGTAGATCTCATCTGCCGTCTTCGACACCGTCGTCATCGAAGACCCACTTCTACATGATAGCCGATACTGATCCATGGCAACGGTTTACGACGCTCTGGCCTCGACGCCTGCTATATCCGCCCTGAAAGCGACGCTCCCGCTCGAGCGCGGGTATCACTTCAAATGTCGGTTGTTGAAGGCCTGTCTACTACGACAACGGCTCCCGCTACCTGCTCATAACTTACTCCAAGACTCCCTGGCCTGAGACGCCCCCCCAACTCGGGAACGGCGCTCTCGCTCGAGACTTCCTCGCAAGTTACTCCAGTTGGTGAAGGCCCAGCTTCGACGACAAGGGCTCCCGCTCGATACTTCCTCTCCGTCTATTCGAGACGCCCTGGCCAGAGGCCCCCCTGGAATTCAGGGACTGCGCTCTGGCCCGAGACTTCCCCGCAAGCCACTCAAGATGGCGACGCCCCAGCTACGACGGCACCGGCTCCCGCCAGGTACTGACTCGCAAGTTACTCGCGCGCGTCCTGGCCATACGCATTATCACAATCAGGAGCGACGCTCTGGCCCGGGACGTCCTCGCAGTTCATCCAATTCATGTTATGAGAGCCCATCTACAACGATTCATCGCAGTTTAACTTTGAGACGCCCTAGGAGGCCCCAGACTCAGAAACTGCGCCCTCTAGCAAGTCATCCTTGCAATTTACTCAACTTGGTCACTTGCCCACGGGCGCGTTCGATCGCATGACGGCCATGACGGCGCGGTGCCCACACGGGGTGCACTGCTAAATGCTTCTCCGAGGTGCTGGCATGAAAAGAAGCGCCCCAAGGAGGGGGTTGGTTCATAGACTCAGTGGACGGGCAGAAGGAAGAGGGAGAAACACATGAGGGTCAAAGCAGCCTGTTAGGTCAAAGCAGCCCGATCGTCGCTGTTGTCGTCGTCGTCAACCACCTCCTCCTCCTCCTGCTCCTCCTCCTCCTCCTCCTCCTCCTTGGGTTCCCCTCTCCCTCCTCCCCTCCCCCATCCCACTCCGGCCGATTTCCTGTCGTTTCTTGCAAAGTGATGTCCAGGGCACCCCCCCGCGCATCGAACCCAACGTGCAGCGTTTGCGGGCCAAGCCCATCTGTGTTTTCTGCCCTCCACGCCAAACTCAACAAATAGAATAGGAGGCTCCGTGGCATCTGCCCCTTCATCCGCCGCCCCCGCCCGCCAGGGTCCCAAGACGGCCCCAAGAGAGCCCCACGAGGGCCCCAAGACACCCCCAAAGAGCTCCATAAGGACCCCCTATCCAAAAGAACCCCAAAAGGGCCCCAAGAGGGCCCCGAGAGAGCCCCAAGAGGACCTCCAAGAGGCCCTTTAGAAGACACTTAGCGTCCTCGTCCTCGTCGTCCTCGTCCTACTCGTCCTCTCCTCCTCGTCTCCTCCTCCTCTTCGTCATTATTGTCGTCGTCCTCCTCCTCGTCCTCATCTTAGTCCTCCTGCTCATCCTTGCCCTCGTCGTCCTCCTCGTCCTTGTCCTCTGCTTCATCTTCTTCCTCCCTCTCATCCTCCTAATCATCCTCGTCCTTTCGTCGTCGTCGTCCATATCCAGATCCTCCTCCTCCTTCTCCTCTGCCTCCTCCTTCTCCTCTGCCTCCTCCTCCTCCTACCCCTCCTCCTCTTCCTCCTCATCCTCCTCACCTCCTCCTCCTCCTCCTCCTCCTCCTCCTCCTCCGCGTCCTCATTTCACCATGGTTGCCCGCTTCGTTTCACTATATATATATATATATATATATATACATATATATATATATATATATAGATCTGTCTCTTCCTCCCGTTTCCCGTTAGCTCTCGCGGGCAACGTTTCTGATTAGGATTGTGAGGATACGGGGAGGTGAAGAATTCCTGAAGAGTGTATGCATCTCGTCATCAAAAAGGACAACTCCATAAGCATAAACTTTCGGAGCTCGGCGCAGATGTCTTGCATCGGCGCTGGACCCCCTTCCTTGGAGCGCAGAGCGCGCAAGGGGTGGCGCCAGAAGCGCCGCCAGGGGGCCCAACGCTGATCCAAGAAATTCACACGCACCTCCGAAAAATCATGTTTATGCAACGTGCCTCCCTCCAGGAGGGAAAGAAGAGAGGTGCCGTGCCCGTCCGGCTCCTGCAGCCAGCTCTCCGCCTTGTCCGCGTTCTTCGCGCGGGCGCACGCGCTGGGGAGCCGGGCTTGTTCTAACCGAGGGCCGTGGTCCGCACGCGCCCCGCGGGGAGGCGGGGCCCACAGCAGAGGCCAAGCCGCTGCGGGGGCGAGCGCGGGAGGTCCGACGGGGCGCAGACGCGCTGCGTGCCGCGCCGGGAGGCCCACGTCCGACCCGAACACACACAGTACAAACACATCGCGGCATGCCGTTGGAGGAGGAGGAGGAGGAGGAGGAGAAGCAGCAGCAGGAGGAGAGGAGGAGGAGGAGGAGGAGCAGCAGCAGGAGGAGAGGAGGAGGAGGAGGAGGAGGAGGAGGAGGAGGAGCAGGAGGAGGAGCAGGAGGAGGAGGAGGAAGAGGAGACAAGGGGGAGCGTTACGACGTGCTCTGGGACGTTCCACTTTCGCTAAGACTTGATCAGGATCGTGATAGACGTGAGGAATAAGGGGCCGTCATATTCTGGCGTCGTGCAACAATCGTGAATGGCGTTTTCGCCTCGATCTCGAGCCCGGCGCCGAGCATCTGCCATCTGAGCGCGCGCGTCGCCCGGAGGGGGGAGCGGCACACACACACATTGTAATGTTTTGGGTGCTGCCGATCCGAGGTAGGAATTCGCACGCGCCCATGGCCTGGGGGACCACCTCCAAGGGCCCCAGGAGTCAGTAGACATGGATGTCGTTCGCGGCCCCCTGGGGCTCGAGAGCGTCCACGTTCACTGCCCCTCGGGGTCCTGGGAAAACAGCCCCCCAGTCCAGTGGACATGTATAAGTTCAAGCCTCGGGAACAGGAGAGGCCACTGCTAAGACGAGGGCAGGGGGAACATTCTCCTGGCGAAGGACCCAACCATGTGCATTTGTGCGTGCCGCAGTGGTGCGTGAGCGGTGTGCCGAAGCGGGTGGCGGGGACGCATGTGGTCAAAGCCATTGGGGCCGTCGGCTGAGCTCCCCATGGGGCCACAAACGTGCCGACGTGGGTGGCGGGGACGCGTGTGGTCACAACCACTGGAGCTGTCGGTGGCGCTCCCTATGGGGCCACGAACGCGTGAATAGTGTGCCGAAATGGGCGCCAATGCGGGACGCATGTGAAAGCAGCCACTGGGGCTTTCAGTGGGGCTCCCTTTGGGGCCACGAACCGTGTGAGTGGTGTGCCGGAATGGGCGCGGGACGCATGTGAACGCAGCCACCACTGTGGCCTTCAATGGAGCTCCCTATGTTGTTTTCCTCCGCATCTTAGCTCTTGTTCCTCCTCCTCCTCCTCCTCCTCCTCCTCCTCCTCCTCCTTTGGACCTGCCCAGCCTAGGGGGCTGGCTTGGCAGATGTTGGTTTTCCATTTTCGCGTCGTGTGCTGGAGGGTGTCCCCGTCCGACTCGGAGACCAGGGTCAGGGGCTTACAGTGCTCGCTGGTTCTCGTGTGCAGGAGTCGGGCGGTGGCAGGCGCTTTCGGGTGCCCAACGCTCTTGCCATGCTTGTGCCATTTCCGCGTTTTCCGTATTGCAGGGCGGAGCTGAGCCGGGCGCCGGTGCCCCACAAGCCGAAGCACACGGCGCCGCCCCAGACGAGGCTTGGCGACCTCCCAAAGCAGGCTGGGATGCTCTCTTGTGCCAGCACTCTGCCTGCCGCCTAGCGCGGGAGGGTGTGCCGAAGTGGGCATGGGACCCATGTGAACGCAGCCTTTGCCACTGGGGCCTTCGGTGGAGCTCCTTATGGAGCCACGAACCGTTGGAGGGGTGTGCCGAAATGGTCGCGAGACGCATGTGAAAGCAGCCACTGGGGCTTTCGGTAGCGCTCCCTACCTAGGCAGCCATGAAGCGCGTGAGAAGTGTGCCGGAATGGGCACGGGACGCATGTGAACGCAACCGCTGGGGCCTTCGGTGGAGCTCGTTGCGGGGTCGCGAACCGTGTGAAGGGTGTGCTGGCATGGGCGTGGAGGGGGAGGGGGGGAGGGAGGGAGCGAAGGAAGGAGGGAGGGAGGGAGGGAAGGAGGAGGAGGAGGAGGAGGAAGAGGAGGAGGGAGAAGAGGAAGAGGAGGAGGAGGAGGAGGAGGAGGAGGAGGAGGAGGAGGAGGAAGAGGAGACAAGGGGGAGCGTTACGACATGCTCTGGGACGTTTCACTTTCGCTAAGAGTTGATCAGGATCGTGATCGACATGAGGAAAAAGGGGCCGTCATATTCTGGCGTCGTGCAACAATCGTGAATGGCGTTTTCGCCTCGATCTCGAGCCCGTCGCGGATCGACCTGGCCCGAAAAAGTGCCACAGCGCCTCGAAGAAACAGTCGGCAAAAACCGCTGGGCACAACAAGCACGTGAGCAAGGGACCAAGGGCGGCCGCCTGACGGGACCAATGGCGGCCGCCTGAGAGAGCGGGAGGGAGAAGGGAGAAGGGAGCGGGACGAGGAGGGAAAAGGGAGGAGGGAGGAGGGAGGAGCCTGGGGTTCAAGCCTGCGGTTGGTGACGGCTCCCCTCGGGGCGCCCGCCCCGCTGCGAACGCCTCCACCCCGAAGGGTCTGCAGGCCAGCGCAGCCTGGGCGACTGAAGGCGCCCCGAAGGGGCGCCCTGAGGGAATGCCCCTTGTGGCCCGCCCTGCTCCAGGCGGGTGCAGGTGGCCAGGCAGGCCCCCAGCCTATCCCACTGGAGCCCGCCGCCCCCCTCCTCCTCCTCCTCCTCCTCCTCCTCCTCCTCCTCCTCCTCCTCCTTGTCCCTCTACCTCCTGCTCCCTCCTCCTCCTCCTCCTCCTCCTCCTCCTCCTCCTCCTCCTCCTCCTCCCTCCACCTCCTGCTCCTCTCCCTCCGCCTCCTCCGCTCCTTCCCGGGGTCGTCTGAGGCACCGCCAGCGCCTCCCAAGATTTCGGCCAAGATAACGGGAAAACGCCCATGGCAATCAACCCATGTCGGCATCCGTCGGGCACTGCTCGCACCTTTCGGAGCCAGGGAAACAAAGACGGGGGCGCGGTCCGAAAGCGTTCACATTCGCGACGCTGCCGGGCGCGCCAGAACTCGGCCCTTGGTCCAGCAAAGCTGCTGGCGGCAGGGTAAGGTAACCCCGTCGAGTCTTGCCAGAGACGCCACCTCGGTAGCCCCATTGGAATGACGTTCGGCACGGCTCGACTTCGAGCGCAAGCGGGAAAACCGAATGGAAGAACCTGGCAATACTATGAGAGGCAGTGGCCACGCGGCCACCAATCTGACAGCTGGCCTCACCGAGGGCGCAGAAGTTGAAATCGCCTCCAATCATGGCTGCGCCCCTTTGCGCAAGGCAGAAGACCGCCCCGCCCATCCCGAAGCTGTTGTTTACGACGAGCAATCCGAAGTCTAGAGTCACGACGGACGCTTACGATTTGCAGATCGATTTTGCAATCGTGGAGAGCGACCGAGCGGATGCGACCCCGAGCATGAACAAAATGCGGAAACAAAAAGCAGTTGCCTTCCAACCCTAGGACAGGTTTAAAAATGCATCTTCCAGCATGTGGATTGTCGAGGAAGGCGGCATAGCCACCGAGCTTCAAGACTTCGCGCTGCAACGCGCGGAACGATTCAAACGCGCCGCGTGCTTCCTGAATGCGCGCCACGTCGCGACTGCGAATCAGCTTTAGAACGTGCTTGATTTTCTGTTGGTGGGCACACTGGGGGGCAAGCCTCGCTCCAAGAAGGGCATTCCAGGAAACCCCCGTTCACTTGCAAGTCGGCGCGAACGGCCTGCGGGGGGACGGTAGGAGGCAAGTCACCTACGCCGCTGAAGCTCGAAGACGTGCTCGAAGCCGAAGAAGAGGAGGAGCCGGACGAAAGGGGAGGGCGGGCTCGGATGCGCGCGCACGCTCTGCGAACGAGGCGCTGGCATCTGCATTCGAGGTGACCTCTCGCTGACCTGACTGCCGACGCACTCGGGCGCACTCACGGGGGCCTTCATCGCAAAAACTCCCCCGCACGAGAAAGGCGCATAACCCACGTGACGGTCGCTGTCCACGTGCTCGTCGCCATCAGGCCAAGTTATATCGTCACCCTGCGCATGGCATCATGCACTCGGCCGCGTTGCCGCTTCTGGAATGGCACTGTTGCTCCTTGGCACAGGAGCGCATCAATCACGTCCTTGCTCATCTGGCCGGTGAAGCCAAGTGAGAGCAGACGCGGCTTGTTCGGCTGAGCGTCGATCTGCGTAGTCTCAACTCTCTTCACTGAGATAAAAAAAACTCAAATTTCTTCACCATGGGTCAGCCGCAGTTTGCCGCAGAAGCTTTGCGTTCCGAGGCGGTAAACTTGCTCCCGTCGGTTGTTGGCTACTGCCGTCTCATGTGCTGTTGACCAGAGAATGCCCAACATACGATTAACACTGCGAGTTCCCATTGGCACATCAATGCGAAACTTCAGATCCACCTGAGAATCTGTCATCACGAGACACCAACTGCCTTCACGCGTTGCACAACGCCGCGGGCATTGGCAGCGGAACCGAAAGCACTACTGTACGCGGTGGTAAAATGGTGAGCCTGATTTCGCTGATGTTGGCGGTGATGTGGCGCACCAGCATTTCATCAACGTGCTTCTTGGGAACGGAGGCCAGGAGCGCCCTCGGGAACCCCGCGATCCAAACACTAAGCGGGTCGCTGTCCTGGGCCTGCGCCTGGCGCGAGAACGAAGACCCGCTGCTCGCGCTCCCAGCCGACGACGACGCACGAAAGGCCAACTCCGCTGCAAACCTGCGAGTCGGCTCCTCCAACTTCTTCAACTTGTTGTCGTAGCGCTGCTCTAGGATCTCCAACTTCTCCTTCAGGACGGCGTCGACAATATTGCGCACGTTGCCGTAGGCGTTGGACACCTCAGCCTCGAGGGTGGTGAGCCGCGGACCGACGGTGTGGACCTTATCAGACTGCTCGTGCAGCTGTTGCTCCATGCCTCGCAGGTCATCATTCGTAGCCATCTCACGGCGGATGCCACTGACAGCGCTCAACAGGCGCAAAATGGGATCGGACGGCGCGCCATTCTCGCCAGCTGCAAGCTCCCCCTGACGCGGCATTTTGTCGCGGCGTAAGTCGCCCATGTCCTGATCATTGTCATGCACAGCGATATGCACCACATCATGAGAGGCCGTAGCTGCGGCCGCCATGCCTGAATCAACACGAGAGATGCGAATATGTCCGAATATTGGTGTCAGCAGGGCGGACATTTGGCGACCCAAGAAGCTGACACAGGTAGAGCAAACCTGGGAGGCAGGAGGCCTTGACCCAGTCCTCACGGCAGCGACCAAGCTCAAGCCGCCGAGGACCCGCGCTTTGAAATTGAGCCAGAATGGCTTGAACCAAAATGGCTACAGAAGGAGGAGGAGGACGAGGAGAAGGAGGAAGAGGAGGAGGAGGAGGAGGAGGAGGAAGAGAAGAGGGGACCGCCCGATGATCCTCTGAACGTGTGTGAACGCCGACGAGTGCTTGCCCACCGAAGCCCTTCAGCACGACGCAGGCGGCGCGGAGAGAGGGCCAGTACGGGCCGAGTGCTATCGGCGGAGCTCCGGGGCTTAAGACACACTGGGCCAACACATGTCCCGAGGATCACCGACCCGCGCCGGCGCCCTCCTGATAAGGGCGTTGTGCGTCACGGCGTCCGGCGCGAGGCCGGCCTTGCGCATCTCGCGGTACCAGCCCTCGGCGCCGTCCACGTCCCCGCCGCTGGCGCAGGCCTCGCGCCAGGGGCGGATCGGGGATCTTCTGACCCTGGTCGATCCAGACCCGGGTCAGCAGGAAACCAAAACTGCAACGCAGGACAAACAACTGCAACGCAGGTCTTCGCAAACCCGGGTCAGCCAATAGGCGCGGCCGCCTCGCGGCCACGAGCGGCTCGTTAACCCGGGTCAGCCAAGGGGGGTCTTCGCAGGATCCTGCAGGATCCGGCGCCCTGGCTGACCCCCGTCTGCACTGACCCCCGTCTCGAGGCTCCCGAGCGGAGGGCGGATCGAGGATGCCGGTCCAGGATCGACGATCTACGGTTAGGAGCTCTTGCCTGGCGCGTGGCGAAGGCGGCGGCCTTGGCGGCACGACCTGCAAGCTGACAGCGTCTCGCCCCGCTCCGCGAGGCGGGCTGCGGGGGAAAGCTCGGGACGTGGACGCCAAGCCTGTGGACCAAGGCGTAGATAGCGCGTCGCACCGAGGCGTGGGCCAGAGCAAATGGAGCGACAAGGTGGGCAGAAGTTCCAGACCGTCAGACCCAGGGCGTGGAGGAAGGAAGAGGGAGGAACCATGCGCATCTCCTGCAGTGGGAGGAAGGCGGAAGGTGAATTCGCGGGGGGTCCAAAACACGTCTTAACGTGACGAAAACATTCACGACGAGAGCCTCTCCCCTGATTCTGAGCCCTTCGGGGGCCGTTCGGGCCTTCGGGACATCAGAAAGCACACCGCAACAAACCAATAGCCCCCAGGGCTGGGGCCCAAGAGCCCCGACACCCCGATTTTCTCAAGAAGCTGGCTCCTGGAGCTCTCGACTGCTTCCCCAAAGCCACCTTTTCGTCCCGAGCCGTTGCTTGACAGGCCCGTTGCCTGGAAGCCACCCACGGACGCCGAGAATGTCGAGAAGCCTGCGGCACAAGTGTTTGGAGCCGCCAAAAGGAACCCATGCATTTATGATTCGCAACCTTTTCCACCTGGTCACGACACGGTTCGCGACGGCGCCGCCTGGGAACTAGCCATTCGTAAGTATTCCCAGACGGCGCAGGCGCGAATCGTCACGTTAGCGGCCCCCTCAAACACCGCCCCATGCTGCAGGTAACGCCAGTGCCTGGGGGTACCCATCGATCGGAAGAAGTGGGTAGCAACATGAAGTGGGAAGGCGTTGGCAAAAAAGATTGGGCTTCCGCCCGCCCCCTGGGGACGAAGGCACGGGGGAAAACCGCTCGGCCCTTGAAGTGGGGCGGCGCCAGAAAAAGAGATTGGGGCGCGGGCATCCACATCCCAAACTGCCTCCTCTTCAACGACCGGCGGGAGGAGGAGGAGGAGGAGGAGGAGGAGGAGGAGGAGGAGGAGGAGGAGGAGGAGGAGGAGGAGGAGGAGAGGAGGGGGAGGAGGAGGAGGAGGAGGAGGAGGAGGAGGAGGAGGACGACGACGACGACGAGGAGGTGGAGGAGATGTTCGCAAGATCTGCGTCGAGCGTTCCAGGGGCGCGCGGCGCGGGGCGCGCGAAGGGCGTCGGAGGTCCGGCCTCGCTCGAGGCGCGCGCGGGGCCCCCCCGCCCCACCCCGCCCGCGCGCTCTCCCGAGGGGCGGCCGCGGAGGGCGGGCGGGGGGGGCGAGGGGGGGGCGGGGGAGGCAGCGCGTCAGGGGAGGGGGCGCAGACACAGAACCGCCGACGGCGCGGAGCCGTCGGGCTGGAACGACGCCCGGGGATTCTGCAAGATCCCGCGGCAATCGAGAGAAGCAGAGCGGCGAAGAAAGGAAGAGAGAGGGAGAGAGAGAGAGAGAGAGAAAGAGAGAGAGAGAGAGGGAGAAAGAGAGAGAGAGAGGGATAGAAAGAGAAAGAGAGAGAGAGAGAGAGAGAGAGAGAGAGAGAGCGAGAGAGCGAGAGAGAGAGAGAGAGCAAGAGAGAGAGAGCAAGAGAGAGAGAGAGGGAGAACGAAAGAACGAGAGAACGAGAAAACGAAAGAGAGAAATAAGCGGAGGAGGAGGAAGAGGAGGACGGGAGAAGGAGCAGGAAAATGATGTTTGCAGCCCCCAAAAAGCGAAAACGTAAACGCCCAACCCGGGCCAGCGCAACACGCCCTGGCACCGAACGCTGCCAAAATGTCCCCCCTTTAGACAAGGGCACACACGCGCAAGAGGAAGCAGGCGCAAGCTGAATCCGTCCTCCGGCCTCCTATTATTGGCTAGCCCCCAACAGCGCCAGAAACGCCGTGCCTTTGGGGGGGACCAACAATAGGAAGCAACGGGTAGGACCCGAGCCTTGGACCGGCGACCGCTACCCCGCAGGGTGAGGTCGCCCCCTGGCCCCTTCCCCCAAGCCAACAGGCGGGGCGGGAAGAGGCCTCGCCAAGGTCGGGGACGGCCCAGTGCTGGGCCCACCCAGCAAGCGAACGCGGAGCGGCACCCGGCGCCAAAACCTCAACCTAACACGGCAAGCGGCGCGCCCGCGGCTAGTAGCATTCCAACAAAGGTGGTTGGAAGCTGCGAACCTCGGGCGCCCGCCCCCGCATCATCATCGGCGGCGCACCTCGCGCAGGAGGCGCCACGCAGCGCCCAGGCTGCACCGCGTGGCCGCGGCGGCAGGGACCTTTACAAATACCTTGGCCTAGCGGCAAGAAAAAACAGGAAAAGCGGGAGGAGGAGGAGGAGGAGGAGCAGCAGGAGGAGGAGGAGGGGGATGGATGGAGGGAGGGAGGGAGGGAGGAGGGAGGGAGGGAGGGAGGAGGATGACCATCGCTTGGCTATGGTCGGCGGTGGACAAACCTCTCTTGAGTAAACCTCCCTTTCGTGAAAACGGCCTGAAACCAAAACCGGCGGACCTGGACCCGCAAAGATGACGGCCGCGACGCCCTTTCGCGAACTGAAAACGGCCAATTCGCTAATCGACGTGTCAGGGTAGGAGGTATGTCCACCCCCGATATGGGGTAAGGCCAAGGTTGGCCGACCCGACCCTAACCCGAAAACCTGCGGCACAAGGCCACTTGTCTGTTAGTCCACCGCGCCCCAGCGCGGAGACATAGGCGCTGTGCCTTCGAGGCTCGTGAGGCGGAAGCTGCCCTGGCAGCAGAGCCTTGGGCTTCTGCCAATTCCCCGAGGGCCAGGCGGTAAAATTGGGCCAAGGGAAAGGGGGGTGAAAACGACAACCGGGTTCTTCTCCCCTTTCGGGCGACGCGTAAAGAAAGCCTTGGCGAGGCGGTTAGCTGCGCCCGAGCTCTGAGGCGCTCGGGCATTCCGAATAGAGATCCCTGTATTGCTCCATATAGAAGCCGCAATCGTCGCAGGAGATCATGGAACTCGAACTGTCCAGGTTTTCGAGCCACAAGAGATTATGCTTCCGAGGGTTTAAAGCTGAGCGAGCCGCGGATGCACTGCCCTGGACATTTCTCGTTGGCACGGCTACCCGTGCCAGGCTGGGCCCGGCAGAAACTCGATAGACCGCGCATGTCCAATATATATATATATATATATATATATATATTCCCAGGCATGAGTCGCGCCCGCATTCTCGGGCACAGCGACGGGAGGCGGAGGAGAAGGTGTGGGGGGGGGGGCGGCCCCAGGGCCCCAGGCGCGAGGAGCGGACGCGGCTCCAATGGGGAGGTTGGAACTCGCGGGCGGCTTTCATCCTTTCTTCCCGCGCTCGGGGGCCACGGCGGGCCCCTTGGGAAGGATGCGGGCAACGTGCGTTGAACGCGCTCCAAGCAGCTTCGCTGGGTCGGCGCGCGCGTCGAGCTGAAGGGGGCTCGGCTTGGCCGAGAGCTGGGCCGCTTGCTTAGCCGTCATGTCGGCAGCAGGGTTGCCCGGGGCATGTTCCCTTCTTCAACGCTGCAAAAAAAGCTGCTCCTAATCCTGGGGCCTTGCAGAGACACCTGGCTGGATTCGCCGAGCGCGCGCCTGCCAGCGCTTCGAAGCCTCCCGGCGCGGACCTGCGCGGGCAGCGAGGGGCAAGATGACGGTCTATAGAGGCTTCATAGTCGGCGTGCACATGAGTGACCAGCGGGGACGCATGGCACGCTGCAGGGGGGGTCGCCAGCTGCTCAGCAACTCCATGCGTTTGCGCGAACTGCTGTCCGACCTGGCCGTAGAGAATGGCGAACAGTTCGCCGTCTCCCAGAGCCGCCAAAAAAAACTGCAGCGCGGCGCGCTGGATGAAACGAGTTGTCGCACCTGCCGTCAATGGAGACATGGCCTTCAAAGGCCTCGCGCACGGGAAAATACGGGCCCTTGCGCCAGGACTAAGCGTCTTCTATCCCGAGGCCAGGCTCTTGCAAAGTGTGCAGTTCCGCTGGGCGAACGGCTTCCTCTCTTTCATTCCTAGACATGGCGCGCTCAGAGATCCTGTGTCTGATGCCGTCTGATTCTGCGCCGCAGGGGCACTGGGTCTCGACGAGATAGCCCGCGCCCCTTGCTCGGGTCTTCGCCCGGCACCCTCGCGTGAGAAAGGTGAGCAGGCAACCTTTTTCCCGCGCAATCAGAGACTGCCCCGCGAGGGCAGCAAGGGCGACTGAAGGCGTCGAGGCGGGCCCCTGCATCGCCGAGCTCGCCGGCGGCCGGATCGAAAGCAGGCGAGTAACATGCAATGGGGCAGCTGCCGCGGTTGCGAGCAACAAAAACAAGATGGGGGGGGGGGGGGCAGACTCCAACCAACTCGATGTAGACAGCAGCCCATCGCTGGGGCGCGGAGCCGAAGGGGGCCCTCTCCGCGGGCCTGAAGAGCCATCGGCGAGACCAGCGCACGGGTCGAACTGGTGGCAGTCGCCCACGCAAGCATGCGCCACCGGAGGGCCGGGCGTAGAGCAAGCCTCCAGGTGGAGCCCCCCGCTGGGGCAAGACTTCAAGTCCTGCTTCTAGTAGCGCATTTCGGGCCTTCGAGCTGCAAGCATTGTTGCTGAGTTATGGTTAGTCGCGAATGGTTAAGGCCCGTCACTTCATATCCGATAGAGGTCGATGCGAAGATATCCTTGTTGTAGATCTTACGAACGGCTCCTCCTCTCTTCTGGGTGGCCCCAATCTCCCCGCCCTCCTCTTGACCTGGCCCATCCTCGCCCTGGCACGTCGAATTCTTCCCCGCCTGCTTTGGTGGCTGAGATGTTAAAGTTTGCCCCTGCTATTTCCGTGAGATTTGTCCTCATCGTGGCCCGTGTCTCTGGCGTAAAGGCCGCCATTTGCGCCTCGGTCGGCGAGGCGCGGCACCCGGGGCCACCCCCTGCCGCGGGCAAGCAGGGGGCGCGCGCGCAGATCGAGGCGGCCGGCCGCCACCGTCGGCCTCGGGCTGTGAGACTTTAGGAACAGAACCTGGCGCGCAACCGCTGGGCGCCGAGCGGAAGGTCTCGCCGTCGTGACACGTCGATGCCCCGCAAGTACATGGGTGCGTTGAGCTGAGAGTCGATCCACCCGCTTCATCGCAAGTCGCGGTCGGTTTCACCAGGGCGATGGAGAGCGTCAGATTCCCAGGCCGAGTCGCACCAGACAAACCAAGTCGCGCCGCCCGGGGGGGCCTCCACGCTCTCGGAAGAGACAGAACCACAGAAAATACACGCGCCGACCGCGCCCAGGTCGTCCTGCGTTCTCGGGCCCATCACGCCGTCGCCCACGATCCACATCTGACCGATCCCTATCCCCGCCGGCGCGGCCAGGGACCGACCGGCCGACTTGCCCCCCTGGATGGGGACGTAGGCTGCCCCCTTCGTGTTTCGAGAAGAAGATCCCCAACAAGGGTGGTGAGATGGTGGGGCTCGGGATCGGGATGGGGATGGGGCTCGGTTAAACGATGCTGACTGCTGTAGATCGGAGCACCCCCGGCGCTGGTCTGCCAGCAACGGAGGAAGAATGGCGCCTCGGCACCAGTGCTGGCGCACGGCCGCACGGCCAGCAGGCCCCCTACTGGCGCGCAGTCGCTGGGCGCGGAGTGGCGGGCCTCGCCGTCGTGGCACAGCGATGCCCCGCAGGAGCACGGGGACGTAGAGCCGGGGCTCGATCCGCCCATCACGTCGCAACTCCCCTGCATCTGCGGCCCCAGCGAGGTTGTCTGCACGGGGGAACTCCGAGCCTCCTCGCCCGCACAAGCGCAGCACAGGACCGGAGGTGTGAAATCTGCATCGTCGTACCCATTGCACCTTCATTGAGCGAGCCTGTAGCCTGCGCAACCACAGCCGCCTGCACTTGTGGCACCCAGCTTCGGCGCCTGCACATAGCTCGCGTCTGTTGGCCAGCGCGGTGCCCGAGTGCCTTTGCGCCGCCGACGCGATGGGCTCGACAGGACGCTCTGCGCTGAGGGGTTCCACCTGCTGCTTGGGGTGCAGGGCGGGGTCATGCAGCTCGCGGAACTGCTCGCGCGCATAGTGAAGTGCGAAATCCTTCTCGTCCTCCGAAGTCCGCAACACATCGGACAGGTCCGGCTGGTCCACCTGCTCCAGCGGTGCCGCTGCGACGACGCGAGCGCGCGGGAGGATGGCCGCGGCGACGCACCGGACTGTCAGGGCGGCGTGGCTGCGGCGACGCATGGCATGCACGCGCGGGCGTGCACGAAATTGGGCTGGCCATTCGCTTGAGCCGAAAGTGCTGCGAATTCTAAACGCCTCGCGTAACCCCACCAGACCATCAAGAAACGATGCCCACAGGAATTGCCTCGTTCAGGGAAGTGGGCAGCATACAGAGGAAGGGTCCCCCAGTGGAGGCCTGTAGGAGCGTTTGGGGGGCGTCTTGGCGGTCCCCGACGCCTCGTAAAGCGTCGTGGGTGCCTCGCAGAGATTCTTGGGGCCTCTTGGGGGTCTCTTGGGGGCCTCTTGGGGATTTCTTGGGCGCCTCTTGGGGCCTCCTGGGGCCTTCTGGGATCCTCTTGGGGCACTTTTGGGACGCTCTTCGGGGCGTTGTTGGAGCCCTCTTGGGCCATCTTGGAGCCATCGTGAAAACTCAGGAGCCTTGCGAGCGCTGGTGGGGCCATCTCGGAGGAGATCGATCAAAGAAGAGGGAATGTGTTTTTAGCCTCGCCCCTCCAAGAGGCCAAAATGGGGCAAAACCTTTTGAAAACCAATGATTTGGGCTTCCTCGCCGAGGCCGTTTTGGACGCTCCGACCGCTCGCGAAACGCCCCGTCCAGGTCGAGGGGAAGGGGCAGGGGGAAGGGTCAAGACTCCCTCCCCGCCCGCAAGCCGTCTCGCTCACTCCCACCCGCCCTCCCAACACATACGTAGCACCCGAGCCTGGCCCGAGCCGCAGCATATTCAGCAGTCGTCTTTGGATGGGCCACCGCCGCCGCCGCCTCCGCCGCCGCCGCCGCCGCGCCGCCGCCGTCGTCGCCGCTGCCCGCCGCTGCCGCCGCGCCGCCCGCCGCCGCCGCCGCCGCCGCCCCCGCTGCCGAATCGCCGCCGCCGCAGCCGCTGCCGCCGCAGCCGCTGCCGACACCGCTGCCGCCGCCGCCACCACCGCCGCCGCCGCCGCCGCCACCGCCGCCGCCACCGCCGCAGCCGCCGCAGCCGCTGCCACCGCCGCAGCCCCCGCAGCCGCCGCCGCCGCCAAGTGTATTCTATTTTGTTTTTGGGATGGTGGGGGGAGGCCGCATCGGGTTGGCTGCGCATGCTCCGAATTTGGAGGCAGAGTGTGTTTCGTACTGTGTTTACAAGGGATTGTGGAGGGGGCCCTCATTGTCCCTCGTTGGCTCCCAGTCGCCTGGGGGAGGGGGTGTGTATGTTGATAGGGAACAATGATAAACCCCTCCCCGAAGGGGAAGAAGAGGGTGGAAGAGGAAATACCTTAAACCACCTACACCCTAAAAGGCTGGTGGGACTTGTGAAGATCGGTGATGATGATGGCCAGAACGATGCTGATGCAGATGCTGGTGTTGATGCTGATGCTGATATGGATGCTGATGATGATGGTGATGGCCACTGCGATGGCTAATGATTTCTATGATGATGATGAGGGTCATGACGAGGGAAGAGGAAAAGAGGAGGGCTGAGGTCCTAAGACTCTGTCCTCTCAACTGTTTCGCCCGCCTCCGAAAGCCAATCCGCCGACCCTGTCGGCGTGTGAAGTGGGTTCAGGCCCTCCCCGAGAATAAAAAACACACATCAAAAGCATATCGATGCTTGAAGCAGGTAGACGCTCGAAGTAGACTGGGATCTGGGACTTCAGAAGTACCTGCTTTCAAAGACCGACGGGTAAGAGATACTGGTTTGGGGGAGCTTTGGCCGCCTTGGGCCGGCCCTGGAACGTCCGGGAATCTCTCTTGGAGTCTCTCGCAGGCCTCCCTTGGCGTCGTTGGGCGCTAGCAGGGCGTCGCGAAGTCTCGGGGGCGTCCACGAGGGGGGCGTCCAAGAGGGGGGGGCGCAAATCATGGCCAGCGTCATGAGCGCGGCCCAGGGGGGGGGTCCAGGGATGCATTGAAATAACAAAGGACGCCATGAAGTCTTGGGAGATGTCATGGCCCCCGCCAGGATATCCGCTCCCGTCCCAATCATCACCCCCCTCCGAAAGTCATTAGGCTATCAGAGGCATCTCGCGGCCGGTCTGGGGGCCGCCAGGAGCTCCCTGACTCCCCAGGGACACCTCGAGGCTTTTGGAGGCTCGGCTCGACCAGACCCCTGGCACCCCAGTCGCCTGTTGGACCCGTGGCCCAGCAACCCCTGGCCCCAGTCTCGCGTTACTTGCTTATACGAATACGTGCAAGCGCATATGAATAAATATCGAACTACAATGACAGAGCACGAAACGAAATATATATATATATATATATAAAACAAATATTAAGCATTTCAACGAACATTTCCGTGTGTGTATATATGCGTGTATATACACCTGCGACAAAACTGCACTCCCGTGCAAACCCCACCATGCCGTGATTTGCTGACTTATGTGAGGAAGGCGGAAGAAACAGGACCACGGGCAAGGAAGCAAATCAATTCGCCGGCCCACCGGGCCAGAGGCGTGCTAAGATCTCCGGTAACTACTTAACAATACTTCTAGTTCGCGCGCGCGGGGCGGCCCCTGGGGGCCCCCGGACGAAAAGTGCCCCGGCTGACCCCGGCCGGATCCCGGGCGATCCACAAGGGGGGAGGCTATTTTTCGCCACCCCTCACGAGGATCGTGGCCTCCGAGGGGGTGGCTGCAATCGACTACCCCCTCTCCCGCCCCAAGGGGCCCCCAAGAGCCCTCTAAGAGGCCCCAGCCGCCAAGGAGCCCCAAGACGCTCCCAAGAAGCCCCCAAGAGGCCCCCAAGACGGCCCCAAGAGGCCTCAAATAGCGCTCCAGGGCCGGCGGAATGAGCGAAACGATTAAATAACAAAGAGCGTCGGCCTTGATGATGGTGTTGAAGCTGACCGCGTCCGCAGAAATGCCGGAATGGCGCATCATGAGGAGCCTGGGCGCTGGATGGCCCCGGGAGGAGGGAGCCCGATAGTGGTGCCCAGGCACCGCGCGCTAGGCACCCCCAGCGCAACCAGAGCATCGAAAGGGTAAGTATCGTCTGTCGCATCGCCTGGATCATCGAGCCGAGCAGGTCGGAGGGATTGCACCTTCGTGAGAACTGAGACAGCCGATGCCTCTGCCGTGCCGCATAGCCATCAGCGAGCTGCTGAACAAAACATCGCACTTATGACCGGCGACAAGCCAGCCCGAAACCACGAGCGAACCACCATTCGAGATCCACGCACCGCCTGCAAGATAAGAAGCACACGGGTGAGCCGTCGTCGCTGAGGCGGCCAAGCCTGCGAGTGACTGACACTGGTGAGGCCCCGACGCCAACCTAGCACCCTGAGGGCGGGGTACGACATTCAAACGACCCACGCCACCCCGACTCCAGCCCTTTCACCCCTGATCTGCTAACATCAACTTCCCGCATCAGCCACGACCCCGACGCATGACGTCACGAAGGGTCACGGGAATCACGGCCACGGCGAACTCTCAGCACCATCCCCATGTCAGATTTTGCGAGGCGGGTCGGCCCGCATATCGTCAGACCTCTGGCCCCCATCCTCACCGTGATGAAGATGAAGATCAAGATGCTGATGGTGATGATGAGGCTGAATAAGAGGATCCTGAAGAGTGACATAAATAGATATGGCCCTCATCGTCGCTATGGTCAAGATGATAAAGATGGCGGTGATGATGATACTGGTGCTGAAAAGGACGAATGGGATGACGAAGGAGAAAGCCAAAGGCGGATAGAAACTTGTGCCATGTTCGTCTCCGTTGTGATTCAGTTGATGACGGCGAGAGCTGGCCAACGACCACTAAGAGTACAGTGACGAATGCAGGAACGGTTGTGTCAAATAATCTATTCGAATGGGCCCTGGCGCCTTGCAGCCCTGGGGGGCGGTCGGCATGTCCATGGAAGGCGGCCTTCGGAAGCACTCACGCTTTACAGTAGCATCTGAACCTCTGCAATCCTGGAACGGCGGGACTCCTTTGAAGCCCAGCCATGGGATGGCTACATGGATCTTCTCGCTGCCGCGGCTACATGTCCCTCGAAGCCCTTGCCGAATGTCACCTCCGATGTTGAGGGGATCTGACTTTCCTCCCTCGCGCCTTGAGCCAAACATGGTCCATGTCTGTCTCTATCCCAGGCGGACGCGCTGCATGCTGCACTCAACTACTGCTATCCCACTTCATTGGGTCGCGATCTGCAATATGCTACTTCCTACCACCATTTCTGGGACAGGGGTTTAACCCGAACGCCTTTCCTTGGCAGCACTTTGTCTTCGCAAGACAGGCCACGCGCTATCCGCTGCCAGTCTAAACTCAAACGCTCATGGGCGCAGAAAAATCGTTGTCAGTCATGCTCGTCGGCCAGCGTGGTGCTGCTCGCTTCTGGCACGATTGTTTGTCCTGTCAGTTTCAATGCCTCCTGGTGCCTCCCTGCGGGCCCCCGGACGTTCATCAATTTCATCGAGGTCTTCCACGCTGTTGCGCTGGCGGCTTTGGTCCCGATGTCCGCCAAATTCTCGCCCATGCGCACCCTGTTGATTTGGGGGCCACTGTTGTTGACATGATGCTGGGGCCAGAGCAAGCCCGTGCCAAGATGACGAACCTTGCCCAGACCCACTCTTGACGCGGTGTCCTGGCCTGCCGTGCTGTCGGCGCGCAGGTCCATGGACGCCTGTTCTCCCATGTCCCGGATCATCGACCACATGCCGACGGTGGTGGAGCCGCCTTTGACCTGGGCAACAAACTCCGCCTCGCCAGAGCTCAAGGCAGAGGCTGTCTGGGTCGCAACCTGCACTTACAGACAACGCTTGCCGTGCATGGTGACCACGCACGACGCACTCTTACGATCCGGATCCCGAGGCCAAGTCGCCGTCGGCGCACACGTCGATCTTGCCCAGCTGGTCTTGTAAAGAGATACACTGGATGCGTCGACCGCGGCCGCGTGAGTACCTCGAGCATCTCTTCATGCGTGCCCAAGACCCAACCGCCGGCCCAGTCATGAACCTCGCCGGCGGGTTTGCGCTGAATCCATGCACCAGGGCGTCTGCTGCGAGATTAGCAAGCCTCATTGTTGCGGATCGGATATCTGTCACCCGCCCTCGGCCCAAAGGCTTCTCGTCGCGCGTGCCCTCCAAACGCTCGTCGGCCGGCGAGGCCGCGGACTTCGACCTGCCGTCGACGCCAGCCAGACCACGAAGTAGGTCGACATGGCGCGGGCCTGACTCAGGAGGAACCACTCGGGACACATCGCTCAGGTCAACCAGCCAGTCAAAAATGGCAACGTGCTTGTTGCCTGCATCGTCCCAGCCCAGCTTCGCGCGTCTTCTGAATATCATCGCGATCCGGAGGCCCTCTCCGAACCGGCCCGACCACTCGTCAGGCCCCTCGAAAACGAAGTCGTCTCCGCGGCGCCACCCAGCGCTGTCCTCGGCAGCGCAATATCATTGACAATGTGATGACAGCCAACCGCGCGCTCGCGCCTGACGATTGCCTCGCTGCAAGCTTCGCCCCGAGCGTTCGCTGCATCCCGCGCCCCGCATAGCACGCAAAAGACCCACGAAACCTGATTAAATGTTTTCGTCCAGCCGCAAGATGCATCATCCCCAGCGGCCCCCAGATTAATATGCGCTCGGAAAACGCCCATGGCTAAGATGCTGCGCTCTCCGGGATTCTGGTTGGGACTTGAACCGGGACAACAGGTGCGTCAAGGACTCAATTGGTAGAATTGCAACGAAAGTGTTCCCCATCGCCGGCGATTTCCACTACACTCGCGCCCGGCGAATCCAGTTCGAACATCTGGTGCACTCGCGTCTCCCGCGTTGGTCATGGCCCACCGCGTCGAGATGAACTCCTAGCCCGTGGACATGGCCTCCGGCGCCTTCTCATCGATCGGAAGTGCGGAAGAATTCAATTTCCTTCATTTTGGTTGCCATGGCGCCCTTGGGCGACGACCATGGGCCCCAGCCTCTCGACCGCGAGCGCGAAGAACTGTTCGAGCCCTTCTCCGTTCCACCCCTGGGCGTCGATGCCGGTCATGCCCGGCCCCAGGGCGCCGATGCTGATCGCGCCGCCCCGTCGCAGCTTCCCGCGCCAACCCGGCATCGCAGCCGCCAGCATGGCTGGTTTACTTGTCGTTGCCGTTGGCATCCTCGCGATCGTCGCCCTGCAGCTTCGCCAGCTCCTCGGCGACGCGCCCAGAGTTGGCCAGCCATCCCGCGGCCCTTCCAGCCTTCGCAAGCCTGGCGCTCCCATGCCCCAGCAGATGGCCTCCAGCATCTTCCTCCTCCTCCTCCTTCTCCCCCTGCTCGTGGCCCAGGGCGGCGCCTTTCGAGCGCCCGCGAAGGATGCGGCGTCCGTCCGGCAACTGTTTGTGGCGCAGGCTGCCATTCGCTTCAGAATGCGCATGCCCAATCAGCAGCTTTGGGAGGCCAGTCAGTGCCCCAGAGGCCATCCGCCTGCTCGACCTGCGTCTGGTCATCAAGATTGCAATCCGTAGCCAGATCAAGCGCGACCACGGTGTGACTCACTCCCCGCCAAGGCGCCTGGTCAGCGAGACGCGTCCTGGTTAACGCTGCCGACTTGATCTCGTCGACGTCGTCCTCAGTCGGCTGCCGGACGGCCTCCTGCAGCCGCGGCCCGATAGCCGCTGCCAGGCGCATCAGCTCGCCAACGATATCCGCGACCTCGCCCCGCGCCCTCTTGGCAGCCCGATCGCGCGAACAACCCCCTGGGTCGTCTCCGCGCCGCGGTGCTGCCCGCTTCTGCTCGATGGGGGGGGCCTGAACCTGGCCTGGACTGCTAGCTGGCGCAGGGCTGCCCGCTTCCGGCGCGCTCCCCAGCCTGGTCTGACGGCACGGGGCTACCCGCTTCCGTCGGCACCTCTCCTGCAACTTCGCCTGGTCGTTGAAGCTGCACTCCTCCTGGACGTCAGTCCGGCGGTGCTCTTGCCTCGCTTCGTCGACCGTGCGCTTCGTTGACTAGCTGTCATATCTCGGACCCCCCGTCGGCCAGGATCGCCGCCTCGATCCTGTCGCGGCATTCCTGCGTGTAATCGGCCCGCAAATGCCGCTGCGCATCCGAAATAATTACTGGACAAAAAAAACATGCTCGAAACTCGACCTCACGACGAACGCGCAACCTTCTCCCAATAACTCCCGGAGATCTCGGCGTCGGAACTCGCGGGGGCAACCAGGGGCGATTGGTTCAGTGGCCCGGAGGGGCTTCTTATCGACGGTTTGACCTCTTGATTCTCCAAATACTGGGGCCCGGGGGGCCCCGTCGATGGATTTCAAGCTCCATCTCGCTGGGCTGAATCTCCGGCGACCGCTTCGCGCAGATCACCTTCAAGACGGCGCGAGACGAAACGACGAGCATGATGTCCCTGCGCTGCAGCGCCACGGCGTTGTTCCAAGACGGTCGGTGCCATTTCCCAAATCTCGCCGCGTAGTCGGCGAGGGCCCCGCGCTGCTGCCTGGCGCGCCCCCTAGCCACCCTGGCTCGGTGTTCCGCGAGCTGCTCAGGGGGTAGGTGCTCGCATTGTCGTTGGAGGGCAGCGGCGAGCTTCCTGCGGGGCAGCGAGCTCGGATCGGGAACATGGCGACGAAGTGCAGGGCGGCCCAGCGCCGCCACTCGCCCCCCCCTGTACTGGGCCAACCAAGCTCATGGCCCGCAATGCTGCCCGCGTCGCCGAGCCCCCGCGCAGGGCCGCGGCGTGGGCCAGCAGCGCGCCCTCGGAGAAGATCGCGGGCGGGGCCGCGCGCCAGCCCCCCAGGACCTCCCAGGCGACCGCTAGGACGCCCAAATCAGGGCGGAGCGCGAGCTCCTCCATCGCCCAGCGCTCGCCGCGCGGGTCGCTGTTCTCGCCGTCACCTTCTTCTTGGCGCTGCGGCGGCGATGCGGCCGCTCCGTCGCCGTCGCCGCTGGGCAGGAAGGACGGGGGGCCCCAGGTGGACCAAGGCCACCGCGGAGACGTCCAGCTCGCGGATGCGGGGGATCGTCCTCTTCGCGCGGGTCATCTTTTGATCGGCGCGGGGGTCGCGACCTGTCTCGCGCCCGCTATGCCCGCTGATTCGGGGCCAGCGTGACCCTGCCAAAGCTTGGCTGGATGGGGCGCCGGGACATCGGCGCCGCGCGTCCGCGAAGGACCCGGCGATGCGCAAGTGCGCCAGCAGCCCGGCTAGCACTGCTAGCCCGCGCGTCGAGCTCGCCGAAGCGCTGCAGCGCCGCGCCGAGGCAGGCGCCGCTGCGTGACTGGCTCCTGCGCCCGCGCAGATGTTTCGGGCGATCCGCTCCAGCTCGTCGCGCCCGAACCTCGCGGGGCACGGCGCCGACTCGGGCGGGGCGAAGAGCCGCGCGCGCTGGCGCGCGAGTAGGCCGCCGCGCGCGCGCGAAGCAGCCCCCCTCCCACGGCAGGCGCCCTAGGAGTTCATCTCGGGCCGCTGGCATCCGCGGGCCAGCTAGCCGCGCCATCGCGCCCATCTGCGAGCACCCCCGCCCGCTCCTGGAGGCGGGGGGGGGCTCCTCGGAGTCTGAACGCTGCCTGTCTGTCGAAGGCCCCCCCAGCTCCGTGCTCGCCTTTCGCGCCGGCACCTGCCGCCCGTAGCGGGGGTTCTCGCGCTTCGGGGGGGCGGGGGAATCGGCGGGCCCAGCTTCGCGCCAGCCTGCGGGCGTCGGCCGCAAGTCGTCGGATTGGCCTCATCTGGCACCGCGCTGCCAGCCTGCTCGGGGGCACGGGACGCGCCTTTTCACTGGGGCCCCGCGTGCCTGACCCGCGGGGGCATCGACCGCCCTTCCTCCGCGGGCCCCACCTGCGGCCGGTCCGCCCAGCATCGGAGTATCGACCACCCCTCTGACGAGTGCCCCACCTGGTTCGCGTGGCCGACTCGCACCGAATGCAAGGCCTCTCGCACGTCGCGCACGGGCTCGGGCCACCGCTTCCGCCACCGCGCTGCGCATCTGCTCGAGGTCGCCCGCCTGGATGAGGGCGCCGGCGTCGCGAGTGGCTGCCTTCGCCAGGTAGTGCACCTTGTCGCTCAGACACCCCCCTTGCGCTGGCTGCTGCATCGTGGGCGCCCTGGCGGCGGCTGGGCTCCGAAGCACTGCTGCGGCCTGCGTGCGAGAGAGGGGGCTGGGCCGCGCGGTTGACAACATTCGCCCTTGAGCTCTGCTGGCTGAGGCGTTCCAGGCAGTGCACCTTGTCCCCCTGCGCGCGGGCGTCTTCGTAGTCGTGCTCCACGATGGCCTCCTGGGGGCCAGGCTCCACCCGCTGTCGCGGCGGGGCCGGCGGCCCCCGGGCGTCTCGCTCGCCGCAGCTCGCTACCCTGCAGACTGCTCAGTTCGCGCAGCGGCCGCGAGCCACTGCGCCCTGCGCGCGGGGTTCCAGCGACGTCGCTAAGCTTGGGGAGAGCAACGCATCTGCGGCGCCGAGCTTGGCAAACCAATCCGCCCAGCAGTTGCCGAGCCGGCGCGTCGGTTTAATGCCGGCGTTGCCGACCACGTCGCCTAGGCCTCGCGCGCCAGCGCCCACTCGAACTTGGGGGGGAGCTCTGCCCATTAGCGGCGGAGGTGCGGATGTCGCGCCACAGCGTCGCGTGTCTAGCAGCTGCCGCCTCAAGATGCGTTCCCCGCTCGTTGCCCCCCCGACGAAGCCTAGCAAGTCGGTGGTCAACAGCTTCAGTTGTGGTTGGTTCGCATCGCCTGGCGTCCTGCATATCTCTCCGCGCGGCTTGTAGACTGCCACTCCCATGGTATGTTACCAGATCGAGCTCGGACTGGCCGCCCTTGTTGGTGAAGCATGACAGACCAGCCGCGCTGGCGGAGCTCCGACACCGCATTGTAATACGCGGAGCCGTCCGTGTACAACCCCTGGCTCCACGGGATGTCGGAATCGCCCGACTTGTGCAGCACCGGAAGAACGGGCCGAGCAGGGAGGTGGCACGGTGCTGCGGCTAGCCTGCGGGCCGCGCACACAGGCGCCAATTGCTCTCGGCCATTGTTATTCTCCGCTGGCTTCGGGCCAGCGATTTGACCAGCTGACGGCACTGCCACCTCCTTAGGCCTTCCAGCAGGAGATCCTGGACGTCACTCGGGACAGTGGCGAGGGGGGGAACCGCGTGCTGCTTGCCGTCGCAGGCCAGGTGTCCTGCCTGAGTGGCTCAGTCGTGACCCCGCACCCGTGCCCAGCTCGGTCGGGTTTGGGACTCCGTCGCGGTCGCCTTGCAGATCCTCTCCATCTCGGCCTCCGACGCCCAGCCTTCCCACCACCACCACGCCGCGCAGCGTACGACGATGGACGTGGTGACCTCGAACATGGGGTCGTACTTCGCAAACTGCTGCGTCATGGGCGCGCCTGCGAAGCCAGAGTAGGACCTTCTGCCCGCCAGCGCCCCCGCCGACGTTCGCAGGTGCCGAAGCTGCCTCCCGGCAGCCCCACTCTTCCCTGCCCCAGCCGTCGCCGTTGGGGTGACCCCCGACTTAATCAGGCCCTATCGAAGCATCTGCAGACGCCGTTTGCGTTTCCTGATGGCCTGCGTCTGTGTGTCTGTCTCTGTCTGTCTCTGCCTGTCTCTGTCTGTGTGTCTGTCTCTGTCTGCCTGCCTGTCTCTGCTTCTGTCTCTGTCTCTGTTTCTGCCTCTGTCTCTGTCTCTGTCTGTCTGTCAGTCGGTCTGTCGGTCTGTCTGTGTGTCGGTCTGTATGTCTGTCTGTCTGTCTGTTTCCTCTCTCGGTCTGTCTGTCTGTCTGTCTGTCTGTCTGTCTGTCTGTCGGTCGGTCGGTCGGTCGGTCTGTCTGTCTGTCTGTCTGTCTGTCTGTCTGTCTGTCTGTCTGTCTGTCTGTCTGTCTGTCTGTCTGTCTGTCTCTGTGTGCGCAAGGGGGAACCAAACCTTCAACGTCTTGACAACATCAAGATCAACATGTGTCGCAATTAGCTGCCTCTGGGGACCGTTTCCGGGCTCGAAGACTAAATCTTGAATCTCCAACGTCCAAGAAAACATGCGAAATTTCATCTTGACCGGGCTTCACGGTTTCGTGTGGAACTGTGGGGACTTGCACCCCGCTCGAAAAAAGGACCCTGCGTTCGGTAATAAGCGTGAGCACTCCCCCCCACGATGGGGGTCAATTGCGCCCCGACGGTGAACCGCGCCAGACCCCGCGAATCGACATGATGTTCAGTGGCCCTAGCCTCACTCACCCAACCCATGATCGACGGAGCTTCTGATGATAAGTCAAGAGGACGACACCCTCTGCCATCACTCGGTCTCCTCCTCCGGCGCCGCCCATAAGGTGACGCTGCGAGTGCGGCGGCCTTTCAAGAAGACGGCGGACCTTCTAAGAAGGCAGGGGAGTTTATTGGAACCCGCCCGGCTTCTATGGGAAGCATCATCAGAAGCCTCTGGGGCCCTCTGCCTTCTGAGAAGCCCCTCCGCCTCCTCAGTCAGCCTCGCGCCGCCCCGCATGGGCGCCGCGCACTCCTGACGCCTCCGAAACCGTTCTGAACCCTCCAGATCCTCCCCCCGTTTTCTGGCGCCGCGCGGAGCCAGTGGACTGCGTCCCCGGGGCAGCCGCCCTTGCAGCAGGAGGACGCCAACCATCACAGAGACGGATCAAAACCAACGCCACTAACAAGGCAAAATCGGAGCGGGAGAAGTCGGGGATCTCTGAGAGCCGGCGGTTCTGGAGGCACATGTCGAGCGCCGCGGCCGTTCCAGAGCAGTCTGGAACGCATTGAGAGCGTTCCAGAACGCTCTGGGGCGATCTGTCCCGATCCTAGGCCTGACTGACCGAAGGGGGCGTCCACAAGGGAGGTTCGCAAATCATGGTCCGAGGCATGGGCGCGGACGAGCGGGGGCGGCCAGGGGACGAATTAGAAGAGGGGAGCCAGGACATCCGGGGCGATGTCGTGGCCATGGCCGTCACACAGCCGAACGCAGGCCAGACGAACGTCCTTCAAGAACATGAAGCCCTCCGCCGGCCGCAGCACCCCGAACCATGAGCATTCGAGGGCACCCTCCCCAAGGATGCACAAAGAACACCTCGGGGATGGACAGACCCCCCTTTAGCAAAACGTGGTTTAGTGAAAACGACCTGAGGCCCAAACCTGGCGCGCGCAAGCCTGGAAAATAACGGCCACGGCGCCCTCTCGAGAACCGAAAACGGACAATTCACTAATCGACGTGTCACTGTTGGGGGTTTTGTCCACCCCCGAACACCCAACAAGCACGAAGAGCATCAAGGGGCCCGCCCCAAACCGACCTCGACCTGATGCGCGTCACTCATTTCTAATCGGGCTCATTCCTATTCGTGCTCCTTTCTAACTCTTCCTGGCCCCCTAGTGGCCAGGAAGAGGCCCAGGACAGAACAATTAGAAATGACAAGGATCTTGGCCCCCGAGACAATCAAAGAGCTCTCGAAGAATCAGAAATGAACAATGTGTACCTCGGACCAGCCGTATCCACCCTCCCTGCTCATCGCCCCCCCCCCTGCCCACCCTCGACGAGACTGCGCCTGCCCAGCCCCTCCCGGGCCCAGAGTCGGCCGGCACGCCTCCCCTTTGGAGTCCCGAACCAGTGCGCTGACAGACCGTTGACTACCTACCAGACCACCCCACCCCAACCCAACCCGAAGACCCGAATTTGACCCGAATTTCGGGTTGGGGGGGGGTACGGGCTCCAGGTGTTTTTTCAATGTTCCCCGACCCCCCCCCCACTGGAAATGGAGGGCAATGTGAGGCCTTCGGGTTGGGTTGGGGTGGGGTTTGGTAGGCTGTGAACCGTGCGGTGGCCTCGCAACCCCGAGGGACCTCACCGCACGGCCCGCCAACGCACGGCTCTGGGACCCCCGGGAGGCCCCACGTCGCCCGAGACCCCCTCGGAGGAGGATCCGGCTCCCCAAGCCGTGCGGCGACCCCGAGGCCCCACCGACTCACCGCACGGTGTGGTCACCACCCCGTTTGGGGGCTCCTGGCTCCCTGACTGGACCCCAAGTCGGGGATCTTCTGACCCGGGTCAATCCAGACCCGGGTCAGTCAACCCTTGCAGAATCCCGCAAGATCCTGCAAGACCCCGCACCCCAACGCGGGTCAATGTGAAGGATCCTGCAGGATCCTGAGCCCAAACCCGGGTCGGTGCGCCCCTGGCCTCTGCAGGATCCTGCGAGATCGGCGCTCTGGCTGACCCCCGTTTGCATTGACCCCCGTCTCAAGGGCTCCCGACCAAGGGCGCGCGTGCCGATGCTGGGCCGGGTCAGTGGCCCCAGGAGGAGGAGGAGGAGGAGGAGGAGGAGGAGGAGGAGGAGGAGGAGGAGGAGGAGGAGGAGGAGGAGGAGGAGGAGGAGGAGGAGGAGCGTCGTCGCAGGCCTCGGCGGCGCGCGCAGGGGGGGGAGGCAGAGGGCCCAGAAGGAAGGGGCCCAGGGACACACAAAGGAATAGACACAAACACCAGGATTCCCCCTAGTTTCCCATCTGTTTTGGGTTTCTGCCTTCCCCCCCACTTCCCAGCTTTTCCTGGAGAGCGACGATGACTTGTGTATGTGTGCTTTCCCCCCTCCTGACGGAAGGCCTTCAGGCCTCCTGGGAAGCCTGCTGAGCCTTCCCCGCAGACAGAGGCGGCTTCTGAGAAGCCCCGAAGGCACGCCCACCTCTCACTTCCCCCTGCGGCGCGCCGCCGAGGGTCGCAACCACAGAAGGGCCCAGATCGAGGAAGAGCGCTGGCCACGTGTTGCTCCCCGCTCGCGGCGCCCTCGTCTGAGTCAGTGTGCACAGTTGGCGTCGCAGCAAACCTTGGCGTGCACGTTCATCATGAGGTTGTAGCACACCAGGCTCGGCTCAATCCCCGCCTTCTGCATCTCGCCGAACCAGGCGCGGGCGCGGCGGGAGTCGCCTCGAGGGGGTGCTAGCCGCGGCGTTCGTCGTCGTCGTCCTCCTCCTCCTGCTTCTGCTGCTTGCTTCATCTGCTCCTTCTCCTCCTTGAACTCCGCCTCCTCCTCCTCCCCCTCCAGCACGTAGCCTCACTAGTTAGACGGTGGCGGGAGTTTGTCAAGTGGGCTCTTGATCAGGGGAAATCAAAGCCTGGTCTAGTATACCCGATTGTAGAACAAGACCCGTAGGCTGTTGTTTATGAACTGTCATTCGCTAAGACATAGGTCGCAGATCATGTGCATCAGCACCGTCGGAGGCGTGTGCAACGGTCTAAACTTTGGACGGAGCCTGAAAATACGCAGCAATGCACCTATATAATTAATACTTGAATGCGTAGGCATGTATATCTATACGCTCGATACATTACAAGAACTAAGGGGAGCGTCTGCTCAGACCACGCTCCCGGAACAAAAGCGAGTAGGTTGCCCTGCCAAGGTCTGATGAGGAAGAAGACGTGCGGCCCTGTCGATGGCTTGATCCGTTGCGTGCGCTCCAACCGAGGCCTCTAGGCGACGAACGTGTCATAAGCTGGCTGGCTGAGTCCGCGAAGGCGTGGACTCATGAGATGCGGCCTCACGCCCGTGGGCCCAAGACTTAGGTGGCCTTGGGGGTACGGCGGTCGCGGGAAGCTCGGCCTTGCAGGCTGCGCTTCCACGTTCACATTTGGATGACACTGCTGCCCTCCCAAGGTGAAGGGGCCCTGGGACACAGATAAATGGACACACATAACAGGATGTCCCATATTTGTCCATATGTTCTGGGTGCTTGCCTTCCCCCACACTTCCAATAGTTTCCCGTATTTCCTGCGGAATCGAAGGTTTATTGTGTCTGTGTGTTTTTCCCCCTCCTGACAAGGTTCACTGTGGCCACACTATTGCTCGACCTGAACCAAATTACAACAGTGCATTTCAGGCCCGTCTTGGTCGTAGCGCTTTGCGGTTGAACTGCCCAGCAGTGGTGGTCAGCCTTGGAATTCAGTTCTGTGCGGATCTGAGTACGCTGAGAGGCCAGCACGGAATGGTCAACGCTATCAATGCCACGCGCTCGTTGGTAGCGGATTCGCCTCACGAAGTCCGCTCGGCTCAGTTGGTATTGCACCCTTCGTTGCCAGCCGCTCATCAGAGGGTGGCCGTTGCATCCCTGTGGACCTACAGTGGCGATGCAATTGTTCGCGTCGAGTGTTCGGAGGCTCGTGTGAAGGAGAAGCAGATCCAAGCCTCCGCCACCAGCCTGCAGGAGTTGTTTGCGAGTGGGTGGCTAGTGATGTCTGACAAGACCTGGCTCATCTCGTCCTCTCCCTCCCTCGGTCGTCGAGACTCTCGTCGGCTCCGTCTTTCAGGGGTCCCCGTGAGTTCCGCTCGTACTGCGGCTGACCTCGGTGCGTGTGCTGTCGCGCGGAGGCGTAGGGCACTCGTCAATGCCCCGACGCGCTTTCAGACTGGATTTCGGAGGTCTGACGAGATCCGCAGGATCAGGCAGCATGCTCGTCTTAGCAAAGTCACGCGGGGGCTCTAGATGAGTGAGGCGTTCCCTCAGGGGGCGCGTGCCCACCAACTTCATGTCTTGCATCCAGGCAAGGTCCTGGAGCTGCGTGGTCACTTCCAGGCCGTTGTTTAACTACGGCTGTGGAGGCGGCGTATAGCCTCAAAAAGCCTAGGCTCGAGATTCGCGGGCACGTTGGGCATCTCAGTAGTTTGAAGAAGCATCCTCAGTATCACACCTGGGTTGGGCGATCTTCGGGGCAGCCCTTGTTGGCCCCTGGACTCGAAATCCGCAGGCAACTTGTTGAGCATCTCAGCAGTTGGAAGAAACATCCTCGGTATCGTGCCCGGGTTGGGCGATTGTAGGAGCGGAAGCTTGCTGGCCCCGGCACGCGCAGATGGCGAGTGGTCGAAGCGCCCGCGTCGGCTGTGCAGGCCACCTTTAACATAAAAACTCGGAGGTCAGCGCGGATTTCTCGGCTCGGCGCTGGGGCCCTCCCGGCGGCGCCTCCGGCTCCGCCCCTGGCGCGCTCCGCGCGGACCTCGTAGTTGTCATGTTCATGTCACCCTTCGTTCCCCTAACCTTGCCCGACGAGGGGTGCGAGGGGTGGGAGCCCCTGGAACCCACTGCTTGGCAGCGCCGCACGTTGACGAGGCTGCTTGAAGATTGGCCCATCCGGGCCTTCCCTCGCGCGGGCTGCGACCCCTGGCTTCGAGATCGGTGGGCACCAGGAGGATACAGTATGCGCCCATCCGTTCGGCCCTCTGCTGTGGGCCCCGGGCGGCCCAGCACGAAGCGGAGCCCGATGCCAGCCAAGGGGGAGATCGATTCTGCGTGCGGCAAGGGCTCAATCGCTTCAGTCGCCAGGGCCTTCGCTCGAGATGTTGCATCACGCTGGCGGTGACTGCGGGAGAACAGTGGTCTCGCTGTCGCCAATACCGCCTGGGCACGGCTAGCCAACGCATGTGACCGCGTTGCGGGCTGTTCCTGAAGCGATATTTCAGCGTGCATGGGTTTGCGCAATAAGATGGGGACTGAGGACGCTATTTAGAGTGAAGGCTTAGTTTCACAAACCGTTGTCAATGCAGATGCTCACCCAGCCTCGTGCCTCGGAGGTGAGCCTCCCAACGGCCACTCGCATCTTCAGTTCGTGGAGCCGCCCGAAGCTGATAGTGCGATCGTTGTGGAGGGCAAGACTCGCAGCGATAACAACCACCTCTCGGTGACACGCGGGGCTAGTTCGGGCGGTGGTTGCCCCTCCGATCCTCGTGGTCGTAGGTGCGGGTTCGGAGCTGTCGGCATGGCTCAGAACCTGGAGGGTGCTTGGATGCTTTTCGGAGGCACTGCCGCCTATCTTTCAGGTCTCAGACAGTGCCGCGAGCAGATCGTCCAGGGTTCGCCTTTGCGCTTGAGATCGTGAAAGGTTCATTTAAGTTGGTCGCGGATCACATGCCTTTGCTAACGTGGTGGGAGCGGGGTCGAGCTCGGACATGCCATGGGCGAAATGGGGACCTCTAAATGCGAGTCTGAGAAGCGCTGGAGCCCCGAGGTGCAGACGAGGTCAGTATCGAATGGGCGCCCTCCTACATGGAACCCTCGACTCCAGGGCTTTCGAAGTATGGATGTCTCTTGTCCCTGGGCAACGCGGCCACCGACGGCTGGCGAAGCGTTGGAGCGAAATTTCCGCCCTTTCTCGGCCGCCGCCGTCCCCGCCACCGACCAGTGGAACACCACGGCGGTCCTTGGCCCGCAGCAGAGCTCGCATAGGGCCCCTGTAACATTCGGCCGCCGCTGCTCCCCGAAATTCAAAGGCTGATTCTGCGTTGTCTGAGCGAGCAGTTCGGCAAGTGCTCACTCTTTCTCGAAGCGCGGTGCGCGCCGGCGCTGATCCTTGTGCGGCCAGCTCGTCACCCGTGACAGGTGGGATTGGGCCGGAGCCGCTGTCTGCACCCCAGGGACTAAATCGTGGCCGCTTGACGTGGCCTCCTCGGTCCCTGGGCCCGTCTCCGTCGGAGGTTGACCTTTGCGTGGGTCCCATCGTTTAGCATACGTACTAGGATCATGCCTCCGCATGTACTTCTGCCACGACTGTGGCCGCGTTGCCACTGTCGATGGCCGGCAGTTCGGGTCCGCCTGCAGCGCCCCCCTCGGAAAGGGCGGGAGAATGAGCTTGCGTCTCGCGAAGGGCTAGCTTACGAGCTGTGCGAGACCGCCGAGAATCGTGGGCGGAAACACCCTCAGCCTCGCGGGCCGGGCCCCTGGGCCGCGCTCCCGTGGACGCGGGGCGTTTGCTCGCGGATATGCCCCCCGCCGAAGACCGTGGGCGGAGACACACCCACGGCCCCGCGGGCCCCAGGCCCCTGGGCCGCGCTCCCGTTGGCCATCGCTCGGACGTCCGTTCCCTGTGTTTTTTGTTTGATTTCGTGCGTGGTTTTCGCCAAATGATCAAGGATGCTCCTCGCTGGTCCTCGCCGAAGGAAAAGTGCACACGTCCGAGGGAAGCCAAGCCCCCGCGGATGCGGGGCGCTTGTTCGCGGATGCCCCGCGCGAAGCGTATCCGTGCGACAGCGCATCCACGGGAGGCCGCCCCAGAATCCAGGCCACGGGGGCGTGGATATTGACACGCTCGCCGCTCGAGAGAAGACGGCTCGAGCTTTGGTTTACTATGGTCCTCCTCCTACTCCTGCTCCTCCTCCTCTTCCCTCCTCCTCCTCCTCCTCCTCCTCCTCCTCCTCCTTCTCCTCCTCCTCCTCCTCCTCCTCCTCCCTCCTCCCGCCTCCCTCCTGCGCGAGCGACCCCCCGCTGGACCGGCGGGCGCGGCCCCCTGCTTCCCCTCGACGTTAGTCGCTCGAGAGAAGACGGCTCTAGATTGGCCCCGGGAGCGCGAGCGAGTTGGCTTCAGCCCAGGCCTCAGGCAAGGCGGCGCGTTGGGCTGCAAGAGCTCGCCTGCTGAGAACTCCCACCGTCCTCTTGTTTCTCCTGCACGATGCGCTGCGCAGAACGTCCAGAACGTCCAAAACGTCCAAAACGTCAAACATGGCAGGCAGAAAAAACACCCCCACTAATCACCCCCTCACGCAAAGCCGTTTAGCAAACGCACCCACAGAATGAATCGAGCAGGGCAGGGCCGTTTAGTAAACGCCAAGGGCCGTTTAGTAAACGCCAGCTGTCGGGTCTGGGTGTTTTTTTCCTCCATCGAGAAAATCCAGACCCCTCCTGGGTCCGTCCTGGCCATACTTTAGCTTAGGATCGATGTATGACGGCCGCGTGGCCCCAAGCGGGCGCCCAGGCCCAGAAGACGAAATCTGCGGAAATCCTGATCAAACCTCCTCCTTCCCTCCTCCTCCATCCTTCTTCCTTAATAAGAAAACTCCTCCCTGTTGCACCCCGGGGCCAGTTTTTAGAGGGAGGGCTGGGCGTTTCGCCTAGATGTCCACACCGCTTGTGACCCTGAAGCTCAAAAACTGACAAGAATTCACC